GAGCAGTTGATGTCATCTACCTGGACTTGTGCAAAGCGTTCGACACTGTCCCACACGACATCCAGGTCTCTAAATTGGAGAGACATCAATTTGATAGGTGGACCACTCAGGGGATACAGAACTGGCTGGATGGCTGCACGCAGAGTTGTGGTCAATGGCTCAGTGTCCAGCTGGAGACCAGCAATGAGTGGTGTCCCTCAGGGATAGGTGTTGGGACTGGTCTTGTTCAACATCTTTGTCACTGACATGGACAGTGGGATTTAGTGCGCCCTCAGCAAGTTTGCCGATGACACCAAGCTGTGTGGTTCGATTGATACGCTGGAGGGAAGGAATGCCATCCAGAGGGACCTCGACACACTTGTAAGGTGGACTGATGCCAACCTCATGAAGTTTAACCATGCCAAGTGCAAGGTCCTACACCTGGGTCACAGCAATCCCAGGCACAGCTACAGGTTGGGCAGAAAAGAGATTCAGAGCAGCCCTGCGGAGAAGGACTTGGGGGTGCTGGTTGATGAGAAAATGAACATGAGCCGGCTTCAGTGTGCGCTTGCAGCCCAGAAAGCCAACCGTATCCTGGGCTGCATCAAAAGGAGCATGACCAGCAGGAGCATTTGAAACTTAAACAGGGGAAGTTTAGATTGGATATAAGGAGGAAATTCTTTCCTGTTAGGGTGGTGAGGCACTGGAATAGGTTGCCCAGGGAGGTTGTGAATGTTCCATCCTTGGCAGTGTTCAAGACCAGGTTGGACAAAGCCTTGGGTGGCATGGCTTAGTGTGAGGTATCCCTGACCATGGCGGGGGGGTTGGAACCAGATAATTTTAAGGTCCTTTCCAACCCTAACTATTCTATGATTCTAAGTTGTACCTCAAAGGTGAGCATCTCAATTGTTAAACTTCAAATATTCAAATAAAACTAATTTCAGGTAACAACTGAGTAGTTAAAATTACAAATATTCCACAAAGGGTAGGGATGTCAACACTGCCATAACTAAGCGTGCTGCACTGAACTTTTGTAATACATATAATCTCTCTTTCCCTCTCACTTAAACAGTAATTAGTATATTAAGCATTAAATACTTAAACATAATGTGCTGTATAAAATGCTGAGCATTTTTAAGTTGCTTTATCTGATGCTCTTTTTCTTCTTAACACTTTGTTTTTACCATTTCACTGTCTGTTCTCTATCTAAAGCTAGTTATTTTATCATCTCATTGAATTTAAGTCTATTGACGCTTTACACTCAGTGTACTCCATTTTTATGTATATACGAGCTGCTATTTAGATAGTCTTGCTGACTAAGCACTGCCTGGACACTATATACACTATCTGGTTCCCCCAACGATGTTTCTGATGGAACTTCCTTTATCATCTAGTGCAGCCTGAGGATTCTGGGGGAATTGTTTGCAGACTTGTCTCTAGTAATTACAACATCTTCCCATATGGCATCTGTAACAGCTGAAGTAGTACCATCAGGGAAAGTGTATTTGATTACCCTCAGTGAGATTAAAAAGAATGACATTAGGGTATTGTCAGCTGTAACATGTGTGTTATTTAATTACCTGGGTGAATTCCCAAAATGAAATGCATCTGAGACAATTACTGGTTACACAACACGAAACACTTGAGAGCTTTGATCTTCCAATACTACCTTCAAAAAGTCCACTTGTAGCACACTCTTCCTCTCTCCAAATGGTTATCTTCAATGTTTCTTGATTTATCATGTGTAGGGAAACACATAATTATTATTTCAGAAGAAAATATTTTGTTCCTTAGGATTAAATATTCAATAGTATTACTATTGGAAAAGAATTCTCCAAGAAGTCAGGAATTGTGGTTGCAGAATAATTTTAATATTAAAATTAAGGACTAGCCTTATTATCTTCAGATAATCTCATGAAAAATGGTAGAAGAAAAAGCAGTGTAGCCCTTTGTATTTCAGAAAATACTTGTGTTAGAAATATTCCACCAACCTGCAATAATAGTCTCTTTCGTGTATTTTGTGTCTCTGTGTTTTTCTTAGTAGCAATGGTCAGGTTTTATGCCATTTCCTACTCTCCCTCCTGAAAGAACTCCTTACAGCAGAAATGATCAGTTCCGTCTGAATTATATTTTACTTCAAAATAGCTTTAGAATTTTACTGTAGATTCCACAATATGGTACAAAATGCAGGCCCCAAAGCCACAGCAAGGCCGTACCTGAACACAGGGCTGCTCCTGTCTTCCAGAATTCACGCACTGTTTTGCCATTGACCACGAAGGTACAAGGCTATGCCACGCTTATTCCTTCAGAAGCTGCACACTGATTCCCCAGATCTGGTTGTGATCCAGGCAATGTCCTCATAACTTCTGCAGCATTATTATGTGCAAATCAATACAAAAAAGTATTTGACTATTTCACACTACAATTGTAGCATTCATACAATGCACATTTCAGTAGCTTTTACATTGGAATAGTGCTAATCTTAGAGCAGAGTAAAAAAAAAAAAAAGCTCACTTCTGATCAAATTAAATTGCTACTAAAGGTGCATAGCTTCTAATGGAGCAAAGCTATCATCCAGCACAGGACAGGAGGCTGCTTTGGTCACAGAGGTAATTGGAAGGAATGCCAGGCATGGATTTTTAACAATCACTGTTTTCTTTTTGCCACTTATAGCAAATAAACAATTTTCAGAGATTTTATAAATTATATAGACTCTCACATATTCATAATTTATCCAGGTTATCTGAAAGCATCAATGTTGCAGGCATTTAGAATGGGCACATCACTTACAGAAGTTGTTGTGTGCACTGTTACAAGACTGTTTCTTAGGAAAAATGTGGTTTGCTTTGCATAATGTCGTGAGATTTGAAAAAAGAATACAGTCACATAATGGAAAAAAAAAAAACACAACACACCCTATTTCTGCTGCAAGGAAAATTGAAAGTTCATGTAAGTACAACATGCATGTAGGAAACCTTGGCACTGTTTACACTGGGGGCAGTCCTCATTGAAACTTCATAGAATAGTTAGGGTTGGAAAGGACCTTAAGATCATCAAGTTCCAACCCTCCTGCCATGGTGAGGGACACCTCACACTAAACCATATCACCCAAGGCTTCACCCAACCTGGTCTTGAACACTGCCAGGGATGGAACATTCACAACCTCCCTGGGCAACCTATTCCAGTGCCTCACCACCCTAACAGAAAAGAATTTCCTCCTTATATCCAATCTAAACTTCCCCTGTTTAAGTTTCAACCCATTACCCCTTGTCCTATCACTACAGTCCCTAATGAAGAGTCCCTCCACAGCATCCCTATAGGCCCCCTTCAGATACTGGAAGGCTGCTATGAGGTCTCCACGCAGCCTTCTCTTCTCCAGGCAGAACAGCCCCAACTTTCTCAGCCTGTCTTCATACGGGAGGTGCTCCAGTCCCCTGATCATCCTCGTGGCCCTCCTCTGGACTTATTCCAACACTTCCATGTCCTTTTTATGTTGAGGACAGCAGAACTGCACACAATACTCCAGGTGAGGTCTCACGAGAGCAGAGTAGAGGAGCAGGATCACCTCCTTCAACCTGCTGGTCACGCTCCTTTTGATGCAGCCCAGGATACACTTGACTTTCTGGGCTGCAGGCGCACACTGAAGCCATCTCATGTTCATTTTCTCATCAACCAACACCCCCAAGTCCTTCTCTGCAGGGCTGCTCTGAATCTCTTTTCTGCCCAACCTGTAACTGTGCCTGGGATTTCTCCGACCCAGGTGTAGGACCTTGCACTTGGCATGGTTAAACTTCATGAGGTTGGCATCAGTCCACCTTACAAGTGTGTCGAGGTCCCTCTGGATGGCATTCCTTCCCTCCAGGGTATCAACTGAACCACACAGCTTGGTGTCATCAGCAAACTTCCTGAGGGCGCACTAAATCCCACTTCCATGTCAGAGACAAAGATGTTAAACAAGACCAGTCCCCACACCTATCCCTGAGGGACACCACTCGTTACTGGTCTCCAGCTGGACATTGAGCCATTGACCACAACTCTCTGCATGCAGCCATCCAGCCAGTTCTTTATCCACTGAATGGTCCACCTATCAAATTCATGTCTCTCCAATTTAGAGACAAGGATGTCATGCGGGACAGTGTTGAATGCTTTGCACAAGTCCAGGTAGATGATGTCAACTGTCCATCAGTTCCTGTCCATCAGTTCTGTAGCCCCATCACAGAAGGCCACCAGGTTGGTCAGGCAGGATTTCCTCTTAGTGAAGCCATGCTGGCTGTCACCAGCCACCTTCCTGATTTTTGTAATGTTAATAAAATCTTTCTTTGTTGCTCTTAGACAAAAATCAGATTATCACTTTAAGCAAAGTAAACGTTCTGATCGCTAAAACTCTGTAGAAGTATTTTCTCCTCAACACAGTGGTCAGAGTAAGTTAATCTAGTACACAGACATACGCAACCCATTACAGTTAAGTGTTGTCCGTTGAGGCCATATCCAAAAGAACATGTTTTATCCGAATTAACGTGGCCAGGCCTAATGTCTGGGCAAAATACGCCTGTGAGGTTTATTTCATTAATGAAAACCAACCATCAGACAGTTTTAGGAAGGCAGGCGATACCACAGACACCAGCATCAAAACGCGGTGTGGGCACAGCACTAGGCCCCGGCAGGAGAGCCGAGAGGCACAGAGGGGAAATGGCTGCTCCCTGGCGCTTCTGCCCCGTGTCTTCAGCGGCCGAGACTCAGAGCAAACCTCCAGATGTTCCAGAACGAAGCTGAGGAATCAAGCATCGCCGATCAGCGTAGCACACCGCAAGGCAAACAGCAGCCCCCGTCGCTGGGAAATGACGGAAGCGGCTCCTGCCCCCCAAAAGGCTGCACGCTGAGAAAACCGCTCCCGAAATAGCTTGAAACAGCCTAAACCCCACTCCTCTGATCGGCGAGCGCGGGACCTGCGGAACAATAAACAGCGCAGCCCCGGCAGGGGATGCCGGTACTTGCAGTCTGCGGCCCGCCCAGCCCGGTCGAACTACAAGCCCCATAACAGCCTAAGGCTGCGGGGTGAAGGGGCGCAGGAGGTGGTGCCATCTTGAGGGTAAGGGGCGGCCGGCACTCCTCTCCCTCGGCCTTCGGGGAGTACGTGGCTCGCCCGGGCGGCGTAAGACGGGCGGGTGGCTTGGCTTTGAGGTTCGTCTCCTCACTCTTATGGGGCTGCGGCCTCTGTGCAGCGGGGCCGGGAAGGGGCTTTTCTCCGCCGTTACCACCACTGCTGGGTGGCAAAGAGGGACCGTGGCCGGGCGGGGAAGAGGGCAGTAAGGCTACGGCTGCTGAGGCTATGGGGCGTAGGCTGAGGGAAGTGGGGGGGGGGGGGGGGGGGGGGGCGGGGAGGTGAGTGCCTTACACTGCTGGGAGGAAGGGTGGGAGAGCGGCTGACACACCTACCGAGAGCTGCGACCTGCGGCCGCGGCCCACCCACACCGCCCTCAGCCTGCAAGGGATGGCCTGCCTGTGTGGGGGACTCTGGCCTTACATGCTTTGTCACCCCCGTGCCCGCAAAGATATGGTCATGCAAGCAATGCCAGCCGGTTCCCCCAATCTGTAACTGCTGCCACACATGCCTTCTTTTTCCATTTGGAGATTTAGTGTACAGGTGGAGCTTGAGGCCTTTACCGACTTGGTTGAGTCTTCTGGATGTTTGTCAGATTAATTAAAGTAGTAATTTGGTGTTGCTGGTGAGCCACATGTGCCAGCTCAGGTGCAATACTTACAAATAGTTCCTTACAGAAATGTGACAACTTATCAGCATTCAAGAGGCAAGGCTGTCACACAGAGTGGACTTTTCCGGTCAGTCCTCCTCCTCGGCAATACAAGTGGAGATGCTTTCACATGCAATTTCACTGTCCCAAAGGGTAGTCAGAGAAAGTCTTTTCAAGATTGTCAAGAAAGGATGTTCCTGTGTGGGACAGTCAGAGCAGCATCCTCCCTCTTTAGAAATACTGTCATGTGGCAGATGTTCACATGCTCTGTTTTTATTCTGCATCAGAATATGGGATTTGCACAGACACCATTCCAGAAGACAGATGAGGCCATAGAAACCAATAAAGCAACATTTTTTTTAATTTTTTTTTTCCCCCAGTCCTGTTTTTGTGTGGAGGTAGAGTAACCCCTTTTTTGATAGATGTAGAATAGAGTCCATGATTCATATAGTGTCATACTCTTTAATTTTCAAAAAGGAGGAACTGAGAAACTAGAGGTATACATGAAATATATGTATCTTGAGAAGAGGGGAGACCCTACACACAGCATTGTTCCACCAGCTCTGAGGAAGAGGGGTAGTTGCATGGCCATGTTTTTCCCCTTTCTGACATTAATACTGTCTTCCAAGTAGTGAGGTCAAATGCAAACAGTAAAATCTCCTTGGTCAAGACATTTTGAGACTGAGGATGGCAAGATTTTCTTTGCATAGTAGGTTAGTAGGTGAGAATGTGCCTAGAGTAATGTCAGTTTTGCAAGTAAGCATAAGATAATAAATGTTGCTTAATACTACATATAGGTCCTTTTCAGATAAAGAGAAAAAAAAAAAACCTTCAAAAAAACCTTAGTTTTTTGGTCAGAATGAAAGGCATGAGCTACTTTTTTTTTTTTTTTTTTTTTTTTTATATTTTACTCCTAGAAAGGTGGAATGTTCACAGAAAGTAGAATAAACCCTCTAGTAGGAAAAATACTTTCTGGTTAGGTGCTGCATTTGTATGGGGGGGGGTGTAATTTGCTGAATAAAATACTTGGCACTTGATTCGTAATAAAATGACTTGGGTTTTATTACAGTCTGTCTAGACCTCTTGAATACAAAGGAAAATCCAAGTAATTCTAATAGATGGCTAATGGCATGATTGTGTGTCACAGTGGTCAGTGCCATCTTGCTTTATTTTTAACTGCTCTTGTCTCTGAATCTTTCTGGAACTTCTTGGCTCATTCTCAGAATGCAGTCTGTTTGGGGCAGGGATTGGGTTTTAGTGTTTATTTTTAGAAAATGTGCAACAAGTGTTCTTGGTCCCTAACAAACATCTTTAGTTGTTCTAAACCCAGAAACATTATAACAGACTGCAGATGTAATTCTAAGTCTTACTTGACTAGTACCAAATTACAAATGCCATCCAGTATCTGAGTGGTGTTAAATGAATTAGTTGACTTCAGTTTGTTCAGTCACAGGAAATAATCCTTGTAACGGAAGTATTTTCATTATCTTTGGTCATATTAGCAGTGATGTCAGATATCAGTTTGTGCATTGGAAATTGGCACATGTTTATCTTATAAAAGATTTAGAACACTTGAGGGGTTAATATAGGTTGGTAGAGAGCAAAGGTTGTTGATGTAATTAATTTTTCAAATATTCACATTTAGATTTTTTTTGTAAATTATTTAAGTTATAAAGCATGAATGCTGGACTGGTACAGCACTAATGTAGTTATTTACTAAAGATGTTTAATAATGTGGCAGTTTTGCTTAAACAATACTCCTGGTTGGTGCTTTCTGCTTTTCTTCTGGTTGAGTACATTTTAGTTGTGACTGTGGAGGGTCTGAGGATGCTTGTCATAGGCCTGAATAACTTCTGCTTTTTTATACATTACTTTTAGAATGTGCATGCTGATTATATGTTATTTGTTTTCTAAGATGCTTCATGCTGAAAGCAGAGTAACTCTCTTGAAGTGTCAGGATGAAATCATTATTGAACCATATTCTAAAAAAATGAAGTCAACAGAGGAGGCCTATGAGAACCTCTCTGCTGATGATAACAAAGATATTCAGGAAGAAGTGGATACTGAGACAGCATCATATGACTCGATACCACTGTATGCCTCAGATGACCAAGGACAATATGAAATGCAGAAGCTAGAGAAAATACCTACAGGTGTCCTGAGAACACTGAATAAAGTGCTCCCTGAAAATAACCTAGTTCATTCGGAAGTTGTGCAGAATGTAAATCCTCAGTTTGCTTCAATAAATGACACTAAAGCTGAAGAAAAAGGCCCTTTTATTACAAATAATGTTGGTGAAGATAATATTGAAAATAGCATTACATCATTATCAGTAAATAGAAATGCATCGGATGAAGATTTTTTTACAAGCACAGAATTTATTGGACCAATTTACAAGCCTGACAAAAGTATCAAACAGGATAAATCTGGCAGTTGCAATGAAAGCAGTGAGGGAAACCAGAATGGAGTGCATGAAAACAGAGCTAAAAGAAAGGAGGCAAAGAAGACACAGACTATTACTTCTGCTGTACCAGAAATAGATGATGAACTGGACCAGTTCTATAAAGAAATTTACCAGCTGGAAAGTGAAAATTTAGATACCAGTTTTCAGGAAAAAGAAACTGAAACTTCTCAGGAGCAATGCACTCCATATGACTGTAGTCAGATGTCACAAGAGGATTGTCAATGCATGTTGTTGGGCAGCCCACAGCCATATTACGAGAATGGACAGTGTTTCTTTGAAGAACAGAGTAGTGGGAAAACAAGCCATGAGCAGCAGTTTGTCATGGAAACAAGTGGCTGGAAAACTGAAAATACCTTTGATAGAGAAGAGGATTGTAAATATTGGAACTACTCAGTGCCTGAATTCAGACCTGCTTGGCAGTCAGCAGAGTCTTTCATAATACCTCAGGGACCTTTTCCTCCTAGATTCAACCATCAGTCGCATTTTCAGGTACTTCATTCCCCACCACAAAAAACTGATGTTCTCCCTTCTCAGAATGGTAACCTTTCTTACAAAAATTACTATGATTACCATGGAAATAGTGATAATAACAGTCATGGTTCATTGCTTGAGCAAAGTATCAACAATGCAGGTCATGCTGATACCTGTACTACTCAGGTCTTCAGAAATGTAAATAATGACCAGAATGGACTCCAAAATAATGGTTTCTGTGAAACCAGAGGAGCGTGTTGGAAGGATCCAAAAGCTGCCAATACAGGAGGAATGCACAGTTTTTCTTCTTTGCGGTTAACTGAAGAAAGATCTAGCTGTTCACAGAAATTGCTGCTCATCTTAAGAGGCCTGCCTGGTTCAGGGAAAACAACACTTTCTCAGTAAGTAAAGACTTAAATCTTGAGAAGCTTATTCACATAAAAAATTTTAAGAACTAAAACAATATCTGGAAGCACTTGGCAAACTTTGGTATTTGTAGAGTTGGCTATTAAAATGCAGTAATGTTTGCTTAATTTTTAATGAAAAATGGCCGTAAGCATTAACAGTATTTGCTTGGGGTTTGGTTTTCTTTGAAGTTTTGATGAACAGGAGCTGGTTTGTGTTGAATTTAAAATGTTCTGTACCCACTAAATTGCATAATCTTTTATTCTGAAACTTTCGGATGTACTACTATGTGATGTCTGCTGCTTTTTTTTTCCCTATTTTTAAATTCCTTCTTATAAAAAGGTCTTCCATTGAATGTAACAGCATTAATTTCACTGAACCAGAATTACTTTTTTATGCTCATTCAGAAATCTTCAAAGACCGTTAGGAGAATTTTGCTACTTTGGAAATACTTAATTTGTTTTCAGCGTGTTGATGAAACTGATCATAATCTCATTGCCTTTCTTTTTCATACTGTGGTCTATCAGCTTCTCTGGTTATTTGTGAACAACACACATGAAAGGTATTATTTTCCATTAAAAATACACTGTTGAAGTCTGATTAGGTTAAAAGCAGGTACCACTTCCAACTTGGATTTTCACTGTTGTGTTTTTTTTAGTTTAGAAAACATTTAAGGTGCCATAGAGCACAGACAGTGAGTGCTGTACAATATCATACTTACTGATAGAGCTTCATCCAGTAATTTTAACTCTAATACCATCTAGTTAATGGTTGCTCTGGTTTGCAAATGTACATTTTTAAAGCTGTGTGTCTTGTGGGTATTACTGGTCATGAAATGGTCAAGTTCGAGATCCTCAGCACAGTGAGAACAGCATGCAGCAAGCACACTGCCCTGGAATTCAAGAGAGCAGACTTTGGCCTCTTCAGGAACCTCCTTAGTAAGGTTCCATGGGATATAGCCCTAGAGGGCCCAAGACTGTTGCTTGATATTCAAGGATCACCTTCTACAAGCTCAAGAGTGTTGTGTCCCAACTAGAAGGAAGTGCAGCAGGAGGGCCAGGAGACCTCCTTGGATGTATAAGGAGCAGCTGAGGAAACTTTGAGGGGGAAAAAGAGGCTTATAATAAGTGGAAGCAAGGACAGGTGGCCTGGGAAGAATACAGGAATGTTGTTTGGGAAGCTAGGGACCAGATTAGGGAAGCTAAGGACCAGTTAGAATTAAACTTGGCTAGGAATGTTAAGGATAACATGAGGGGATTCTTTAGGTACGTACTGAATGAAGGACAGACTAGGGACAGTGTGGGCCCTCTCCAGAAGCTATTGGGATAACTAGCTACCCTGGACTTGGAGAAAGCTGAGGTTCTTAATGACTTCTTTGCATCAGTATTCACTGGCAAAGTCACTGACCACACCACCCAATTCTTGGAAGGTAGACGCAGGGACTGTGAGAATGAAGACCCTAGGCCCACTGTAGGAGAGGATCTGGTTCAAGACCAACTTAAAACCAAGTCCATGGGACCTGATGAAATCCATTTGCGGGTCCTGAAGGAGCTGGCAAATGAAGTTGCTAAGCCACTGGCCATCATATTTGAAAAATCATGGCAGTCAGGTGAAGTTCCCCACAACTGGGAAAAGGGACATATAACCCCCATTTTCAAGAAGGGGAAAGTGGATGACTCGGGGAATTACAGACCAGTCAGTCTCACCTCTGTGCCTGGCAAAATCTTGGAGCAGATTCTCCTGGAAGGCATGCTAAGGCACGTGAAAAACAACGAGGGGGTTGGTGACAGCCAGCATGGCTTCACTAAGGGGAAATCCTGCCTGACCAATTTGGTGGCCTTCTAGGATGGGGCTACAGAACTGATGGACAGGAACTGATGGACAGTTGACATCATCTACCTGGACTTGTGCAAAGCATTCAACACTGTCCCACATGACATCCTTGTCTCTAAATTGGAGAGACATCAATTTGATGGGTGGACCACTCAGTGGATAAAGAACTGGCTGGATGGCTGCACGCAGAGAGTTGTGGTCAATGGCTCAATGTCCAGCTGGAGACCAGTAACGAGCGGTGTCCCTCAGGGATAGGTGTTGGGACTGGTCTTGTTTAACATCTTTGTCTCTGACATGGAAGTGGGATTGAGTGCGCCCTCAGCAAGTTTGCTGATGACACCAAGCTGTGTGGTTCAGTTGATACCCTGGAGGGAAGGAATGCCATCCAGAGGGACCTTGATACGCTTGTAAGGTGGACTGATGCCAACCTTATGAAGTTTAACCATGCCAAGTGCAAGGTCCTACACCTGGGTCGGAGAAATCCCAGGCACAGCTACAGGTTGGGCAGAAAAGAGATTCAGAGCAGCCCTGCGGAGAAGGACTTGGGGGTGTTGGTTGATGAGAAAATGAACATGAGATGGCTTCAGTGTGCGCCTGCAGCCCAGAAAGCCAAGTGTATCCTGGGCTGCATCAAAAGGAGCGTGACCAGCAGGTTGAAGGAGGTGATCCTGCTCCTCTACTCTGCTCTCGTGAGACCTCACCTGGAGTATTGTGTGCAGTTCTGGTGTCCTCAACATAAAAAGAACATGGAAGTGTTGGAACAAGTCCAGAGGAGGGCCACGAGGATGATCAGGGGACTGGAGCACCTCCCGTATGAAGACAGGCTGAGAAAGTTGGGGCTGTTCTGCCTGGAGAAGAGAAGGCTGCGTGGAGACCTCATAGCAGCCTTCCAGTATCTGAAGGGGCCTATAGGGGTGCTGTGGAGGGACTCTTCATTAGGGAATGCAGTGACAGGACAAGGGATAACAGGTTAAAACTTAAACAGGGGAAGTTTAGATTGGATATAAGGAGGAAGTTCTTTTCTGTTAGGGTGGTGAGGCACTGGAATAGGTTGCCCAGGGAGGTTGTGAATGTTCCATCCCTGGCAGTGTTCAAGGCCAGGATGGGCAGAGCCTTGGGTGATATGGTTTAGTGTGAGCTGTCCCTGCCCATGGCAGAAGGTTTGGAGCTAGATGATTTTAAGGTTCTTTTCAACTCTAACTATTCTGTGATTCTACTGCAGTAACTCCTTTAGACATGAAAACAGTAAGGAAAATTAAAAATACCATCCACAATCCTGTGGAAAAATGCTTCCTCATTCAGTGCAGAAATTATGATGCTTAATGTAAAGATGTAAACTGCTCTCTTTTCCATGTTTGATGTGCTGAATTCTCTCTGAATCTTTCTCCAAATGTGTTACTTGTTTTCTCTAAAAGATTCTAAATATCTTCAGATTTTAAGAACACATATTAATGCTTTTTTCATCTCTTGCTAGTGAGATAAATTACTAATCTTATTTAACAGATGGGAAAGTGGAACTATGAGATCAAGGTCAAGAACGGTTACCAAATTTAGGTGTGGAATTTGAACTGTGTGGGACTTGATTTTCAGTGTATTCAATTATATGCAGTTTTGTTTGTTCAATGCTTGGCTGCAGTTGTTAATTGCAATGAAATCATTTATCAGCATCTTAGGTACCTGTTTTGGGGGGGAATCGCAGAATTAATGGCTTCCTATTGGAAAAATGTAACTATTAATAACTCTTGTTCTTAATAACGTTGAGAATGTTTTTCTGTTTAACATCATAGAACTCTGCAGTGTAGAGCAGGACAACAAATAGTCTTCTAAAGTTATGTTAGTACCCAAGATATCTTGGCAGGCCTGGCAGTTTTAGTACCTGCAGACAAACATCTACTGCTTATGCTACCAAAATAGTTGTTAAAGAAAAGCAGAAAATTGACATAATCTGTGTGGATCAGTACTAGAACGGAATAAGATGCATCTTGCAAGCAGGTTTCCCAAGTATGAAATGACAGCAGTGCGGTAGTAGGACCCAGGAATCTTGAGTTCCTGTTTGCATTTGGTAAAAGTAAGTGCTTGTCCTCCTGCTCCCAAACTTCCGCTAAGGAACAGTGTTTTGTTTCAACTCTTCCATCCCAGCTACTTGGAATCACAGGCATGTGTTTTGGAAGAGGCTTGTGGAATTCAGCTGGTCCTTCGTTCTGCTTGGAGCAGGTCTGTCACCATCACTGGATAGGATCAGCCATGTCATTGTCTAGCCTGATCTTGAAAAACCCACAAGTATGGAGACACTGCAGTCTCCAAACTTTTCTGGTGCAGTACTGTCCTCCTACTAAGGATGCTCTTCCTAATCTCCAAACTGAAGTTCTCAAACCATAATTTGTGTGTGTTCTCCTGTGTTATAACATGTGCTGTTACCTGGTAGAATCTGGCTCCTCATCTTTGAAGCTTTCCTTCAGGTGCAGGTATGGGCTTATTTACTGTAATAGGCCAATTAGCAGATGGTCTTTTACTGTCTTCACTGCCAGACTAAACAAGCCCAGATGATATTAACTTCTCTGTAAGGCTGTGTGCCCATAACCTTCTTGACAGGTATCTGTTCAGTCCTTTAATGGTTTTCAGCATGTCTTTTGAACTGGGAAGCCCCAGACTGGATGCAGTATTTTGGAACTGACCACGCATGAGCCAGGTAGAGTGAGGATGATACCTTCTATTGACCTACTGGCCACATTTTCTCTAGTAAAACCCATTATGTAGTTTGCTCTTTAGATAAAGAGCACACCAGTCACTCGTCTCCAGTTTGATGTCCACTGTAATACACACATTCTTTTCAGCAGGGCTGCTCAAGCAGTCGCTTTCCCTCCTGTACCAATGCTTAGGTTTATTTTTACCAGTGTCAGAGCTTCGCTCCTTTCCTTGTTGAGCTTCATGATATTTTGCTTAGTACTCAGGTTTCTCAGTGGCCTTCTGGATGGAAGTGCTGTTAGGTATGTAGGACATCACTACAAATTTGATGTCATCTGCAAGTTCTTTGCCTCATCATCCAGGTTAATGATGAAGATAATGAAAAAGTCCTGCTGTCATCCCTTGCTGTACTTTGCTTGTTACTGAATGGGAGATGATAAGAAGCCTTGATAACTTCAAACTGTGTTATATTCATCACTGTTCTCATCTACAAAGGCAGTTGTTTCATCAGAGAGTGCATTTCAGTCAATAACAAATGATTTGTCTGTTGCAAAACCCACATTGGCTCTTCCTGATTACCTTAATTTCCTTCACATGTTTGGAAATAGATTCAGAGAGCATGCAGTCCATTGACTTTCCAGAACTGACATTAGGTGACGCTTTTAGTTCCTTGGGTCCTTGTCTTTATTTACCCTAAGTATGATCGTAACATTAATGGTTTTCTGGTCACTGGGGAGCTCCTCTCATCAACTTATTTCCTGAATTCACCTGATCTAGATAATCACAGCTCATTTGAATTCCTGTCTCTATCCATCAGCTTCCAGTTTTGTTTCCCTGTTCCTATCCAACCATGGCTTTTGATCTGTGCTTACTAGCTCCACATCTGCTCCTAAATTCTAAGGTGATTTCTCCGTTCCTTCTCCATCCACTTTCTTCACAGATTCATCTTGTCCCTGTTTCAGCAGCTTGTGGGATCTCATTCTCATCTTTGTTGTACCATCTTCTTCCCTGCACTTCACTCTTCGCCATGTCCCTATTTGTTAGCTCTGCTGCCAGCACCAAGTTTCTATTTCCAATATTTATGCCACTATGCTTCCCGTGTCCTTTCTATTTTAGGCCAATTTTGTTCCTTCTCTTGCCATTCTTAAGATTGTGTTGGGAAAAAAACATGTGTTCTTAGAATTATGCAGTATTGGTACTGAATCAGCTTCCTGCTGCTGCCAGAATGCGCTATTTGGGAATGGGTTTACTGCAGGGAGAATCTTTCTATTTTCTGTTTTACTTTGTACAAAAATGAGTGCTTTATTTTCTATGCACATGACATTTCAAAATTCTACAGCTTGGGCAGGTTTACAAAAAAAATCTTGCAGGAAAAGCGAACACGTGTACTTTGCCAGATTTCACTTCCTCAGAGAAGTGCTTGGTATAATGAAACATGATAAAAATTCTGTATTTCTCCTTTGATTTTTGGAAGTAATTGACTATTGTCTAAAATAATTTGGCCAGATAGATACTCAGCAGTGGTATCTTTAGCTCAAGTGACAAAAGTTTGCTACAATTAGAAGTAGATGATAATATGATCTTCAAAGCTGGAAAAAGTTACAAGAAAACAGACTTGGGATTTTTAGGGTATTTTGCTACTGAACTACACAGCAATTTCAATTTTCCATTCTTCCATAAATATCTGAACATGAATTTGAATAAAAAGGAGCTTAATGAAGTTGAAAGAACAAATATTGGTGTCATTTAAGAAGCACATTTTGAATTAAATCCATTGTCAGGAATATATCAAGTCATCTGTATCTGAGACCATCTTCTGAACAGAAAAGTTGGAAAGTTGATATTTATAGCTGAATGTAGAAACAACTGTGTGATGTATTTTTTTGAACAGTGTTATAAGTCATGTTTTTTAAGTAGCATTTACATAGCTTAGTAATGCTACAAATTTTAGAATATTTAGTCATTGGCTTTTTCTTTTGTCATCTGTGATATTTAGCTATTTTAAATAGGTGAATTATTAGATTGAGAGATCTTTATTATCAGATAATCTGCTGAAGTAGGCTAACTAGGATGCAGGTTGGGAGACCATTTTAGTTTTGAAATAAAATTAAGGCAGGATTTGTGTGCATGTGCACATGTATGCACTGGAAAAAATGTGTGTCAGTTTGCTCACTATTAACTATGAGTAATTTGGTTTCAAGTTGAGTTCTGTATGTTGGGCTAATATGCTCTATTAGATCAGACAGCATGTCTGGAAAAGGTAGGTGGGATGCTTTAATTTTCCTATCTGCTTTTATTTCACTGTTCTACTATGTTCAAAGGTAGGTGTTCAACTGCAGGGAATATTAAGGGTGAAGAAGCTGGATTGCAGCAGTTGTATAATTCTGCTGCTCATTTCAGGCATGTGCACCTATTGATGCTGACTAATCTGTAATGTGACTCTCATTAGAAATGTATGTATGTTCTTCACTGCTCAAAAGTGGAATATCATTTTTTTGTGGGTTTAGGTAGTAATGACGCTTTCTTTGCATAGATGTGCTTCCTGTTGTTTCTGCTTCCTAGTTAATGAGCCTTAGATACATTTTATTTCCAAAAACATGTGAGATGTGTGTGAATTATTCCAAATGACGTTGACAAGTGTGTGTTTTAAATTTTGCAAGTTTAATTACTGTGAATTCTGAAAGGGATAATTGTCAGGCTTTTAAAATGTTATGTTTTATGATTTCACAATTTAGATACAGGCTGTAATCATTGCTGTAATACCTGAAGCTCCAGTTCATAAAATCTTTCCTTTGTGATAGCTTATATGTTGTGTATAGGGTATGATTCTGTTACTCTGGCTTCTTTGGTAGTCACTTTGCCTTCACAAATTCTGTAGTTTTAGGATTTTTCTTACAAACATAGTTTACTGTATTAAGTCTGTTGTATCAGTAATATAGGTTCATAAATAAAATGTGGTGTATTCTGAACTTTGGGGAATAATAACAAAATATCTCAAGAATAAACTCTTTTGATGGTTTACAGGATTCCGTAACTCTTGTCATTGTTTCTTTATTGTTGCTAATGATGTTTGGAAGATAGAATAGATTTAAGTGAATTATTCTCCAGAAGACTGAGCAAACAGAGTCAGTTCCTAGAAAAAAAAATGAATGCCCTATTAGTCTCATTAGTTTTGATTCATCAGTTCGTATATAATTCCTGTGGAAGCCTGATGATTGGGTTCTCAGGAGCTGCAGGGCTGTGTCTGTGTACTCCGCTAGGAGAAGAATCCTAGTTACTATTTGCTATCTCTTTTATTAAGGCAGATGGTCCTTACTATTCCAAATTTGTATACACAAAAAGTGGATGTGGAAGATGGATCCAGTTTTTATAGCATTATGCTTTGCAAATGTAGCATACTTTAAATAAGAAAATTGGACCATGTGTGAAATCATGTCCAAGTAACTTAATGAACATGAATTACTGTTAAGTACTTCATACCAGAGAGGAACAGATATGAAAAAATGCTGTTGTGTGTGGTATATGCTTTACTGGTGCTATTTTATCTACTTGGAACAAAATTAGGCTTTGAATCCTTCTGTGCTCTCATAAACCAATGTAATACACCATTAATAAAGACACAGGCTCTAACAAAAGTCATTATTGTTCAGTGTCCAAAAGAAGTGGGCATATTTTTGGTGTATTATGCTCTGCTTTCTGAAATAGCATTACTGTTTGCCCTAAGGTAACCTTAATACTCAGGAAAAGGGAGAAGGAGCAAGAAGTCAAAACCAGCTTATATGCAGCCTTGATCATGTTACTTGACAGTTGCATCATTAGTAGTTTCTTCTGGTCCTCAGTAATCTGAATTTTGTTGTTACAGATTCTGTATTTTAGAAGCAAAAATAACCAACAACATAGTCATGGGACAATAAATGCGTAGGAATGTAAGTTAATAGTCATTAAACTTTGATCCATAACAGATCTCTTAGTGCAGGTGGCAGAACACAGCAAATTCCTTGTGTAGGAATTAAACTTAAGTAGGTCTCCTGCAGATACATAGGAAAGCTTGGCAACTTCAAACTAACATACATTTCTTCCCTTACATTATTTGGGATTTGGCCAGTTCTTTTCTGTTCCTGCCACCTACGCAAATGTGCAATCCCATATAGTTCTGGTACAATTTGGATTTTGTAGGCTTTGGGTATATTGCCAATTTCTGAGCTGAAATAGTTGCCTGAATTTCCATAGGACAGTGATATCTTGCTGTAGCAATGGGCTACAAATACTCTGTGGTGCTGACTGCTTTGTATTTTCAAATTTAAATTCACTATCAAAACCAAAATATAATCAAGGAGGTTTTGTAATCTCACTTATTCAGACTTATTATGTAGGTCAGACTCTAAACAGAACTGTACTTTTGTCTCAATTTTACAAGGTTTTCCCTTAACCCCTAATTTCCAAGGACTTTCTGAAAACAAATGTTTACATTTGGCAGGATGAGGGTTGTTTATTGGGATGGATTAATGTGGATTTGGTTGTTGTGTGCCCCCTCAACTCTAAAAATTAAGAGGTTTTGAGAAAATATTCTGTGAGGTTTTCTTGACATGGGTCTATTTTCAGCTATCTGAAAAATAGAATTTAAAATATTTTTGTGTTTTCCATTGTTTAACAGTGTTCTGCTTGGTCAAAGTCATGATGGCATTGTGTTCAGCACCGATGATTATTTTCGTCAACAAGATGGATATACATATAATGCTGCTCAGCTTGGTGATGCCCATAACTGGAACCAGAAGAGAGGTTTGAATGCATAGAAGGAATCCTATTAAATTATGCTTATATGTAGAAGATAGAAGTGTAGCATAATGTGCATGTGTGTTAGCAGTCTGTATGAAAAGGATATACCTGTATATATATTGGTATAGGATATATAGATGTATATATTTAAAGTGTTCCTTTTAATTAATGTGTGTATATACATATACATTAAATTTTGAACTTATAGAAGGCTTACAGTTAAAATTAGAAATTCTCTTTTCTTTCTGCTATGACCTGCTGATTTGTTACATTTGATATTAGTATCTCGATGGCAGAATTGAACCTTTTAAATTCTGCCAACAGCAGAGTATCTTTTTTTTTTTTTTCCCCAGTATCTTTCCTAATCTGAGCTTCATCCAAAATTTATGGAAGAACTTTTCTGAGGAAGATTTTAGTTCAGTTGAGTAGATTAAAAGTTTTAATAGTAATTTTTCTTGATACCTAGCAGTGTCTAAAGGTTGGGTTTAATTGGTAAGGAAGTAAATAATTAGGGTAGGAAGGGTAGCAGACAGAATCTTGGCCTTTGTGTAGCAGTTCTTCAAGAATCTCATAATCTGGTCTGCTTTAAGGAGTGGACAAACTGAACAACTCCATTGTCTGTGCATGCAGATTATTGTCTGTGCTGCATTTCCTCAAGCAGAAGCTTGCTTTCTGTCTAAAGGACTACTTCTTTGCATCAAAAGATATGGAGGACCAAGGGAAAAAAATATTCTCCCCTTTCCTCCCCTTTCCTCCCCTTCTCATCCTAATGCAAAATTGATGATACATCAGGGGAACATTTCTGTATGAACAGTGAAGGAAATTTTTAGAGCAGTCATTAGAATATCAGTTATAAAGAGCACTTCTGAGGGTGTAGTGCAGCAATAATAAATGCTTTGAAGTTCCCAGTAGGAGCCTAAGGTAGCAGTTTACAGGTGAGAGGGCTCAACAATTATAAGACTACTGGGCAGTTCTCACTTGATAATGATTTCTGGCTGTTTCTGACTTGATATTAAGACTTCTCTATTTCTGTACCAGTTAGTTACACTGTGGTTTTGATAACCCGAACAGTATGTAATTTAGTTATTCAGTGATTTTGATAGCAAGAACAAGAACAGCTGTGCCGTGCTGTATAGAACACCCCCTCTGAAACATTCGCCAGAATAACTTTGGGTTGAAGTTACAGTCAGTTCCTGCCTCCTGCTTTGACTAGGTAGAGCTCTCGAACTTGAAGTACTTGAGAAGGTCTTGGTTTCATTTGTGTGTGGATTTTTGTAATACATGAAATGTGAACTGCTGGGGAATGGTAATCCTGACGGTTGGAATTCTGAAGGGTAGGTCTAAATTAAAGTTTCATAAAGATTATATCAGCTACATGAGATACACGTATGTATATATATTTCTTTTTAAATTCAAGTGACAACATATTTAGCTAGAGCTTCAGAATCATGTCAGAATTATGGAAAAATCAAAAATTTACTTTCTTCACAAATGAGAAAATTATTCTGTTAAAGTTATCTTCCCCCCCACGCCCCATTTTTGGGGAGGGAATGAATCTATGATATACTAAATACAAGGGGAAGAAAATAGTCGCGAGTCAGACCTATTAGGAAAAAAAGAATAGATGAACATAATCTCAAGCTCTCAAATATTAATAAGATAGTGAATTACATACCCTTAATACTTAAAACACATACACATTTAATGTGAAGGTTGTAAGGTTAAGTGCACAAACATTAGGTAATCTTAGAATTAATTTACCACTGTAATTTCAGTTGTCAGTCAATGTCAGTCTTTCAGGTGTTTAGGCCCTTTACATTCACTTTTGTGGATTTTCTAATTGTTTCCAATTTTAGTTCATCCTGCCGCTTCTACTGGAACTTTTGGCTGTCTTTAGTACATTTTTAACATCGTTGAGTTGATGGGTCAAGTTGGGTTTATCTGCTTTTTTAACTCTTTTTGTTTGGTTTGGTTTTGACAGTGGTAATAAATTAATAGCTTTTTACTTTTAAACAAAGCTTTATGTAAGGTGCTACATCAGCACACTTAGCACTTGGATCCAAAGTTAAGACAAAATGGTAAAATATGTAAGTGGGCTATAGCTGTAATATAATCTTGCTTCACAGGCTTTTGCAGATTAATGATGGTCCCATTATCTTCATTGCAGAATCGGCTGTTTTCTTGCTATCTTTATGAATCTTTCTGAAATGCGTATTTCAGGATTTTTCTCTTGTTTCTGTCGTCCTACCAGCTTTCTTTTCTAGATTTGGGTTTCAGAAATATCATTTGTGCCATGTTAATATATTTTTCAGTTTTTAATAGCTTTTTCCATCAATTCTTAGCGCTCTCTTGGAACATGCTTTATCTTTGCTTTTTTTCCTCCCTTCTGTCTACAAAGCTACTTTCCAGCCTGTTCATTTAACTTAATTTCTTCCCATTGTATGGATTGATTTCCATCAAGATAAATCCCTACATCTCTCCAATAACTTAGGGTTTTTCTTCTGCAAAAAGAACTTAATTTACTGATCCATGCACAGAGTAGTTCTTTTCTAAAGATGTAAAAGTTGTGTCCCTTTTGGCAAGTAATGGCAGAGGTCTTGCTTTCAGAATAAAAAGGTGAAGGAAGTAAAACTATGAAAATTGAAGTAGTCCATTTGTCCCAGAAGTGGGATACTCAAGTACTGTCTCTTGAGAGGTACTCTCCTCTGTAGGAGTTCCTCTAAACTTCTGGTAAGAACAGCTAAACTGCTGTCCAGGTTTGTATAAAATGGAGGTGGATATCAAGCTGATAAGGGTATAGAACTCGAGTTTTTCACTTTTTTGGACAAGTCTTCTGTGAAGCATTATGTAGAAGCTGAATGTCATCATCATGCTCTCTAGACGTGCCCCAAAAAGCTGGTTGTGCAATGTAGGGGTTTTTAGGGACAAATCCTAGTAATGTGAGTTAGGAGTCCTCTGTTAATGCTTTCTGGACTGTGTAAGGAGCTTAGAAGAATGTCTGATCTCAAGATCAGAGTTAGGTTTAGGCATTAGGGAGAGATACTTCACTAATTTATCAAGACTAAAGCAGTCTTGGTCTTACGAAGAGAAACAGCTTTAGGCATCAGGTTAACATTAAAATCTTTTTTGTGCTGTGGAGCTGATGTATCTCAGGTATCCAGCACATTTGCATATTTTGTTTCCTATGGTCCTCCAACCGATGTCACCTCTGCACTGTAAGCCCTAGGACAGTTCTGCTGAGTAAGAAGCAGTAACATCTTTCTAGTCCAAAGTTAAAAGCATGCTACTGTGGAAGTGTCCTGCCAAACAAACTGCATGTGGCTGTGCTCGATCTGTCTTTCCATCAGTAGAGATGCTAATTTGGATGTGCCTTTTTATCAGTTGCTATTTTCTAGAACTTGGAAGCAGCATGTTATTCCTGAAGCTTTTGCCCTCTTTTGGATTTGCTAGAAGCTGGCCAGTGAGTTCAAACATTATTGAGGTGGAGACAGCATGACTGTAATTTTTTATTTTTTTTAATGGATCTCGAAAATATTTCAGATACATGATGCCTTTCTGTGAAAATCACCTATTTCTTAGCAGTTTGTTGGAGAAGGACTGCAATACCTAACCGCAGGTCTCAGTTATGAATGCACCATGTGTTATCCAGCAGTGCTGGTAAAGCTGGAATCAGGATACGGTATCATGCTGGGATCAATATACTCAGCAAAACTTTGAGCAGTTTCATTGTGTTGCTTTGACTTCTACACTTCCCATTTACCCCTTTGCATCAATTCAGCACCACCTGTTTATGCCCTTCTTGCTTCTAGTTCTTTCCATTCTTGTCTCTGCCTTTCAGTGCTTTTATTCCTTCTCTTAGAACAGTCAGACTAGATTAGTGCAAAAAACATCTGGAACTGTTTACTTACATTTATCATTTATTAAAGTTACATAGTTGTTTATTAACTTGCACTATTTTCCATTGCAGCAAAGCAAGCAATGGAGCAGGGAAAATCTCCAGTTATAATAGACAACACTAATACTCAAGCCTGGGAAATGAAGCCATATGTGGAAGTGGTAGGTTTTGTTGTGTGGGTTTAACATCTGTGACAAGTTTTCACCTTGCCTTCATATGTATAAGTTGGTGTGTTTTGTCCAGATACATTTTCCTTAGTCAAGTTTCTAAAAATAGACAGCTTATTGATATGATCAGTAATTGGTATGGCAATAATTCAGACTAGTGTAAAGATGGACTCGATCTAATCTGTTTAGCCTGGAATGAACGTTAAGTCAGGTTGGGGGTAAGTGAAATTTAGCATGCTACCACCGCAGTGTTAACTACATCTGTTTATTATATTGTCCTTTAAAGCTTTTGTTACATTTTATATAATCATGATACACATACCTTGAATTTTTCTTTGCTTGCTGCAGGCTCTAGAAAAGGGATACAGAGTGGAGTTCCATGAGCCAGATACTTGGTGGAAGTTTGATCCTGAAGAATTAGAAAAGTAAGGTTTATATTACAAAAATTGTTGTAGTTATATATCAAGATAGAAAGGCAGATAAATATGCACATATATGTAATACTTCGTATTTTATTCAGTATCTTATGCTTTTTTAAATATCCACCTACTAGTATAAAATTTATTTTATTTAAATACACGTTTTGAGATGTATCTGTACATGAAAATATTATGGACAGACAAATACGTAGAGGTCTTGTTGGCCCAAAAAGTCAATATTCAAATTTTTTTGGACATGAGTAGAAAAATGATTCCTGCTATTATAATCAATAATTATTCTTAGAAATTTGTTGCTACAAAGCACTGATGACAAGAAATAGGTAGAAGACAAAAAGAGATTACACCTTTTGGAAGGAGTGTAAAGGGTAAAAAGAGAGCTCATATTTTAGATTATTTTATTGCAAGATTTTGTGAAATTGTCCCCAGTCTTCAGAGTACCTGACTTAAAGTACTGTTGGACATAGGTCATTGGACTTGTGAGTTGTGAGAGTTCCTGAGAAGCTGCTTAATATTCCTGGTTGATGCCTCATCTAAGATATATCTGCTTTAGGAATCTATGAGGTATCAAACCAACTTAGGAAAATTTCATTGTTTGGAACGTAGTATCTTCATGGTTGATTGCAAAGTTCGCTTACTGATTGTTATTTTATGTGCTTCCAGCTGACATGGCTTGTAGGTGTTTCAGATTTGTAAAGTAGCCTCTACAATGTACGAAGTATGTGTGTATAATAGTTACATTACTGAATTATACTTCATGTTTATAAATATTGTGAAGTTTCACCTTTTGCTCCTAAGCTACCAGTAGCTTATTTTTAGAGATGAAGTCCTCTGTCTGCAGGATGGATTCTAGTAAGTTTGTCTAATTCTGGGTGCAGCACAGCCAAGTTAGGAAGCTGTCCTGGTCATCAGATGTTTTTAGGATGTTCAGTGTGAGATATCCGTTGCATGGGAGAGACTAATTTTCCGAGAAAATTTGTATTTTCACATGGTCTTAACAGGTAACAGGATAAACATGAAGTGTTGTTACCATTGAATTTTATTGTAAAGTAAAATTTGTCTTTTCCAAAACAAAACGAAACCACTTGAATTGTGAAGGGCTGCCAACAGTTCCTATGAGCTTCCTAGAGATGTTTCAGAAGCTCCAGTTGCTTTAAATACTTGAATAGAGGCCCATTGTCTGGAAACTTTGTTTTCTGAGAGTTTAGGAAAGGTGGTGATGGGAGCTTTCATTTGTTTGGGGAGAAGGCTCAATTTCTAATGTTTGGGGTTTTTTGCATGTTGTTTCTCGCCTCTTCTCTCTTCCCCATATTTGCATGTTTAGGAAATAGATAACAATAGAGATGATATTGTAGTTTTGGGATTCCCCTTATGAATTTTAAGCTAAACATTTTGTGCAGTGCCTGGGCAAATACTGTGCTAAGAATAAATTTGGATAATTTAATTAGTTGTCTGCATTCGTACATTAGAATTCTAAACAGGATCACTTAAGATTCTGTTTCTGGTAGTTGGAATGAAAAATACCCTACATCCTACTTTAATTAGCAAAAAGACTTTTCTTATATTTTAGATACAGTCTTCTGATTTGTTTTTAGTGGTGCTGCCTAGAATGTTTGTAACTTTTCTCGAGTGATCTGCCTATATTCTAGAAGTCAGGTGCATTTCTAGATACTTCTTGTTAGAAGTATCAACACTAGCAGTGTTAGAAGTAACAGCACTAGCAGTTGTTTCTGCCACTGCTTAGTGTGTTTGAGAAGTCCATGGAAAGGCTTTCTAGGTCATTACTGGGTGAATTCTTGATGTCAAGAATGTGACACGTTTTTTAGCATGAACTAGGTATCAGTATCTTATTCTTCAGTGTGCCTGTGAGGTACAGATTAGAGTCATTCATGAGTGATTTTGCTTTTAGTTTAGTTTTGTGCACAGAACTTCTGTAAAAATATTTTGACTCCACAGACATGACTTGCAGTAGTGCTCAAAACTTCTTTATACATTTTTAGAAAGAATTTTGATCCCATCTTTAGGAAATCTTCAAAAAACTGCAGGTGGAAGAACTAATGAGTGTCAAAATCACTGGTATAAGAGAAGGTTTTTTAAATTTTATTCAGTGTTTAATTGGTGTTGGATGAAAGAAATCCCTTGTGTCATGTTTGTGTCTTTCTGAGTAGCTGGTCAGTTGGGGACTAGAACTTTTTTAAAAAATATACTAGACATTTGATTCAAGGTTTTAGGGACTAACAGGTATCCTGTGTATAATCTGTATGTGGGGGTGGATGTTGCTCTAATTGTAAAGTTACCTGCTATGTAACTTCACATGGAAGTGAAATGCAAACATGTTTAATATAATCCTTTCTCCTTTGTATGATCATAAAACTGCAAGTTGATACTGACTTCATTAAACTTGTGCTGATTCTTTTAAGTAGTCATGTCTGTGCAAGATTACTTTGCCAGTGAATTGGTATATAAGATTTTTCTAGGGTAGAAGGATTTAATAGTGACAGAACTTTGCTTTTATCAATAGATTGTGTTCCTCCAAGCAAAACCAGCTTCCAAAATGTAACTGTTAGGAGCTTTTGCTGGTACATCTAATTGGTTAAGGATAGATGGCTTTATGCTCTTTCAGAATAGCCAAGCCTCCAAAGCATGAGTGAAGACATGCCTGAGGGGGAGATCCCAGTATTAAGTGACACTATGCAGCAGATTTATTTAATTTTTAAAATTAATTTCTATGTTTGATGTGGTTTTGATTTTGGTGATTTTAGTATCCTGCCTTGCTCTTTAAGGAAAAGTACTTGCTCATTTATGAAGTGTTTATACACAAGTCCAGTTGTGGATGAGTGGGAGCTTTATGCCTAGAGCACTTGAACTGTAATCTTTTTCTAGGAGCACTAAGATATGGAAAACATTGAGTAACGCTATGCTTCCACCATATGACATGAAAGGACTTGGACTTATTCTTGATTGGTTGGCTGGTTTTGTTTGTTTTTGAGGGTTTTGTGTTTTGTTTTTTTTCTGTCATGAGAGTCAAGTGCTTTATAGAATCTCTATATTCCTAGGTGATTGGCTTTTTTCTCTACTGTTAACCTTTTTTATATTTGTGAAGAAAGTCAAAACTGTTAAGACTTTGTTAACTGATAAGTTCAACATGCTGCTGCCCCTGGATGACACTCCAGTATCTGATGTTGTCTTAGGGAAGAGTGTCTGAGGGAAGTACTTTACTCTAAGTCTTTTCTTCCCAGAAACTCACAGGAGGTTGGAGGAGGAGGAGAGGAGAGGGGGAGGAAAGGAGGGAATCAGTCTATTTCTGTGTAGAGTATTCTCTTTCCAGTATAGTCTGTTTGCTTCCAGTATTGATTTCTCTCCTATAAAACTGAGCAAGTTGGTAAGGAGGCCCAAGCTTTCTCTGTCTGCAGCAGAAAGAACAAAGATGCAGGCTTATATTCACTATTGGTATCACTTGGAAATAATTCAGCTTGGACAAGGTTTCATAGTAATAAGAATGTATTGGGTTAAGATAAATGCTTGTCTACTCTATCAAGACTTTTTTTATTTTTGTATCTGTTCTTTTAGGTTCAGTTCTGTTACAGTGCTGGCAATTCTGTGACAGTGTGTGCATGACACTCGTGGCTTTCTTTAATGGCAGAGACTGAAATTTTTTGCTAACATGGATCTTAAGATCCTATTCCTTAAATACTAAGGAGATGGATACATTCTAATGTAATGTCTAATGTCTCAGGTTCTTAATAGGCCAAGTTCTCACTGAAGCAGCTACTTCGAACATTGCCTTCCTAAGTATTGATCTGTAATAATTTCCATCCCTCTACTCACATAGCTAGTATATCTTGTGAAACCTGATGAATAAATAGAACACAAAGTCTTTCTAGGTTTATTTAGGTACATACTCCTAGAGAATAACATCACGTTTCTGTATGAAGAATGACTGTAGTTTTTTCTATTATTTAACATATGCAGTAGTGAATTGTTAAAACTTTAACACAAATTGAATACTGAGGGAATGAAGGTGTAGTGTAATAAAAGTGAAGTTTCAAATATGAAAAGCAAAAAGAAAAAATGTGAAATTAAAGGATTTATTTATTTTTCTTAAAGAGTGTAGACCTATAAACATACCAAACAATTTATTTAAATTTTTATTTTTGTAGGAGGAATAAACATGGGGTCACTCGTGAGAAGATTGCTCAGATGTTGGAACGATATGAATATCAAATATCCATACCTATTGTCATGAATTCAGTGGTACCTCCCCACAAAAACACTCAAAGGCCACCTCTGCAACGAAGACATAGGTGGGGAGGCAATACAGACTTACGGAATTCTTTCAGTATTTCCAGTAGCCGATAACAGTTGCAGTCAGTTAATAAAAATCTGTTACTTGCCCTTCTAAAACACATCATCACCTCCAGTAAAGTAGTGGATCTTCTGTGTTTTAAATAGGCCTCTTTCGAGACTATTTTCATCTGGAGGTTGCTCCTTTAATGGACTTGTGTGTAAATAAAATTGTACATTTAATGGTGTTTTTTTTTCAAACTATATTTATTACAGTTGTAAGAACTTTGATTTTGGTAAAATATTTAATACAGTATGACATATAGCAGTCTTCCTTCATAAACCAAAGACAATGATGTTGTCATACGTAAAGTAACTGTTGAGCAGTGTTTTTAAAGAGGTCATATTGGAGATCTTCTTTTAAAAGATAAATAAAGCCCCAGAAGAGGAGATGATTTATGTAATAACCTGTTTTAATGATTGTCATCTAGTCTTCTTTTAGGAGACGTTTTTGAAAACAGTTTTGTCCTGGAGTGTTCTTTTGTTCTCTTTTGCATGTATTACCAGTCGTCATCATTCTGGCATGTATTTTCTCTTCAGTTGTGGTATTTGGTTTGGTTTGTTTTTTTTTTTTGTCTTAGAAGCTTATCTGGCAACTGAAGCAGTATTTGCCAGTACAGTATTTGCCAGCCTTAAACTGTACAAACTGAACTACTTTTTTATTTGTTCTCAGTGGTAGTTTATAAACTGTGATGGTAGTTGCACACCAACTTCTTTGTGCTGACTAAAACCCTCTAAATTTTAGCACTAAACACCCAAAATTTCACAGATACATTTTCTAAGTCAAATTATTTTATTTATAATAAAAATGAAGTATTAAAGCAGTAGGCTGTCAAGTCCCAGTCCACAGTTGAAATGCATCAATTCAATATAAATGGTGCATATAATTCTGTAAAACCAGTTATGTTCCCAGTTTCGGCATAGCCAATGTAATCTGATGAGCACATAACAAAGAATAAGCCAGCATGGAGATAGACTAATTTACTTCCCTTTTTCTCTTAAAATAATGACTTTGTAAGTTTTCACTTTGCTTGCTTTCTAACAGCCTGTTGTATTAATAAATCATTTTTCTCCTCTATGTTGTTTTAGTAGTTCAGTGCAACAGTCTTATTATTTTCATGCTTGTAGGATTTTATGCACATGAGTATTATTACTACCCTGCTACCTGAAATAACCTAACTACATTTGATTTCCTTATACACTGAGTAAATCCTGAATAGGAGGGTTTGTCAGGAACATGAGTATGTAGTAAAAGAATTTTCATGGTTTTCTATCACTAATTTGGTGTAATAGTAATCAGAATTTTGCAAATTCCAAAGCCAGCATAATTTCTTTTACTTACAGACAATTTTTCAATAGGCCCTATAAATTACATCATCTTTAAAGCTTGAATACCATGAAAGTTGAAAGTCCAGGTATATAATGAAATATTTTTTGTACACTTACTGTGCAAATTAACTTTGTACAACTTGATGTATATCTGCAATAACATTTTCAGAAACACTTCTGTTGACTGTAAAAGTTGAAGTGTGCAGTTTCACATTTTGGTAATTGTTTTAATTACTTGCAAAATTATTTAAAATACTTCAGTAGTGCATGGATTGCTAATATATAAAATTATGTCTATATGTAAAAAAAGCTTTCCTGCTATAGCGATTGTCTTCCCTCATTGTCTCTTGTTCATACCAGTTACTTGACTGTATTTTAGTTTTCGTGGTTATCTCTTTCCGTGTCTCGGAAGAGTCACAGTAATCATTGTAAATGATCAGTAGTACTTTAATTATCCGAAAGTTTTCCATTTGAACATGCAAGCATATTTCAAGTGGAAGATAAAAAGGTTTTAGAAAGACTCATTTTATTTACTCTATATTACCTTAAGCCATAATAAAGTGATAAAATTTCTTGCTGCTTTATGTAAAACTCACAATGTGTTAAGGTTTGACAAAAAAGAGCAGATTATTGAAAGTTGATATTATATCTGTTGGTACCTTCCATCTTCAGTTTTTAAAGGAAATAGATTTAATTTTTTAGCAATATTTAATTGATATTTAAGTTTTCTTTAACTGAAATCTGTATTTAAATATAAACAAATTCATGGTGTTTTAAAATGATGCAGCACTTTTGAGCTGTATTTTTAATAAATTATTGGTATTTTTTATATGCAAAGCATGTTGTCGGTATTTGCAAAGGACACAACAAAAAATGAATGCTTTGCTTTGCAACTTGGCACTGTATCAAACATTTCTTGTAAACTGCTTAATTTATAAAGCCATATTCCAAGGTAAGTACAATGACATGGTAGGTGAAAACATGGTGGAATTACTGTCTGTGTAACATATTTTTGTTTCGTGGTATATTAATATTTCATGTGGATATGACAGTCATGGTCATACATACATCTCAAAAGTTTTTTACACTGCACTGTTTATATGTAAAATAATAAAATAATGTGAAATACCTATCACAGGTATTTGGATTAGTCCTGCTTTCTCACAAACAAGGAAAATTACTTATTTTGTCAAAAAGGATGTACCAGAAATGTAGGAGTCTGCTGTTCAGTGAGTTGGTGGGGGTTAAAAATTTTGACTGTCTGGCATAGTTTTTTAATAACCTTTGATGATGATGATGATGAACCTAGAATGAAGGTATCCCGTTGTTTCAGATTTTTAGTAAATTGCTAGCTAGTTTGTTACACTTCATGAAATGGTATCAGAATTATTTTTTTTTTTTTTAATGCAACTAATACATAGAACCTAAAAGTTAGAAGTTGCGTTCGTATCTTGCTGCGTGCTTCAGACCAGTAAGATGTTTGGTAAGTAAATTTAAGCAGTATAGTTAAGATGTTCAGCTGTAGTTTAAAGATCTTATTTTTTGAAGCATGAAATTTAAATGAGAATAAATTTGCAGGACATGCATAATTTGGGTCATATAGCTGTCCAGTTAGCATCAGCTATATAAGCTTGCATACTGCTAGAGGGAATAAGCAGTTCTAGTTTTACTGCTTTGTCTAAACTGCTGCTTCTGTTTGATTAGTTTACTTCCTGTATTATCAGAAGTTTCCATCAGCCTTGTCTTTGATGAATGACTTAGTTTTCTTATTTTTCTTTTGGAAAGGAAAAACAAGGAGAAAAAAAAAAAGGAAACAAGCAAAGTTTAAAAAAAATAACAAAACAACCTAAAAAACCCTACCACTCCAGCACCAAACCGCAGAAGAACTATAGTGTTGGGTTTGGCTGCGATAGAGTTAATTTTCTTCACAGTAGCTGGTATGGGCTATGTTTTGGATTTGTGCTGGAAACAGTGCTGATAATTCAGGGATGTTTTCATTTTTCCTGAGCAGTGCTTACACGCAGCCAAGGCCTTTTCTGCTCTTCACACTACCCCACCAGTGAGTGGGCTGGGGGTGCACAAGGAGTTGGGAGGGGACACAGCCAGGAGAGCCGACCCAAGTGATAGCCCATACTATGTGGTGTCATGCTCAGCATATAAACCAGGGGGAAGAAGAAGGAAGAAGGGGAAACGAGGCATGTTTGGCGTGATGGCATTTGTCTTCCGAAGTAACCGCTACAAGCGATGGAGCCCTGCTGTCTGGAGATGGAGACATCTGCCTGCCGATGAGAAGTGGTGAATTAATTCATTGCTTTGCTTTGCTTTGCTTGTGCATGGCTTTTGCTTTACCTATTAAACTGTCTTTATCTCAACCCTTGAGTTTTCTCACTTTGAATTTTCTGATTCTGTCCCACATTGGACCCAGGGATTAGTGAGTGAGCAGCTGTATGGGGCTTAGTTGCTGGCTGGGATTAAATTATGACAACATAATGTGACACTTTTTTGTATAAACTTTTTAATGTGTGATGTTAAATGAGGTCCTATGAGGAATTCTGTTCTTGTGCATATGTCCTCTTTAGGTTCATTTAATCTAGCTTACCATACTGCATAATTTTTCTTAAGCTTTTTGTCTTTTAAGAGGAAAACCAATATTTTATCTTTTGTAATCTATCTCTTGAAACCTTCTGCAGAGTGGAGTGTTTCTCTGCTAATAGAACTGAAAACTAGGCTGCGATGAGTTCCATAACATTTATGTTTGGGTGGTTTGTGTCTGTCTTCCCTGATGGACTTTAGACTGTGTCAGTATTTTCTTCTTTGAGCTGGACAATTGGATTCATTTTTAGTGGATTAGAAAAATAAATACTTTAATATTTTTATGTTGATGTGTGTTACCTGTAGTTTTAACTGCTGCTTCCTCCTAGCAGCTGAGGTTTTGGGGAGAAATGTTTTCCCTTTGTTGGTACATGGTGAAGATGAGCTGCCAAGGTCCATGTTGAGAATTGAGAGTTTTCCCTGCAAAAGAACAGGGATATGTATTACAGTTCCCAGTAGAGAGCAATAAGAAGACATAGCGTTGAAATGCAGTTCATGAATTTGAAATTAAGTGCACTCAATTTAAAAGTGATCAGATGTTTCACATACATAGATGAGATGTGGAAATATTTCACTTCAGTGTTTCTGCAGTGGTCCTTTCTCTTTTCAGTGTTCTGTGCTCTCACCCTTTTGAAATAAAAGCAAGAGCAGAGATTAAAGCTCTTTAGTAATAATCTCCTAGGTGTGATAATTTCCTACTTGTATGTCAATTAATTTGGGATTTATTTTTTTAATAGGCTCATTGCTTGAATTTAGTTGTTAATCGTCTTTTTTAGAGTTCACAGAAAAATATGTGAAAGCACAGCTGGTCATTTAAATATTTCAAAGATAAAGTAGTGAGAAATACGGTTTGTCAAGGCCAGATCATTGCAAATTTGTCTAACTTATTTCTGTAGTAACAGAGAAACAGCAAGTGGTGTTTTTAGCTTGAGATAGCCTGTCAATGTCATTCTAGCTAAAGAATAATAAAAACATTGAAGTATTGCACCTGGAATGGGTCTTTGCAGTTTCCTTTGAGCTGATAATGCTGCTGCTTCATTTCTCAGGCTGGCAGGCAGTCCTTGACCATTTCATGTACACCATACTGATACATATATTCTGTTGTAGCAATGCCATCTTATACCAAGTCAGAATATCGTATCCATAGAGTATTTTTTTGTTGTACTTGCAGTCTTTTTAGTGATGTTAAATATTTTTATTTTTTGGGTTGTTAATCAAATTCAGTTTTTCCTTTGTGGTCCATGAAACTGATATTAGGGCGGGCAACTGCTTTATAATAGTGTGGGTCATCCTGCTTGTCCTTCTAAAGTATTTTCCTGATACTAACTCTCAGGTATTCTCAGACTTTATGGAAACATAGTAGAAAAATGTTTTGTATGCCTGCATGTTGTTTAACTATGGATTTAAAAAAGCACAAATTCTTTAGTGGATGCTGTTTAATCTCTTAAATGACTAACAGACAAGAAGTGCTGCTTTAGCTGACTGAATAAACATTTGTTTATTCGGAAGGGGTTTATTGTATCATTTACAAACAAGTCTTAGTCATGGGCCTATAATGCAGTTTGGCTGTTACTTTATTCATTATACTTCTATTTTTTTTTATTTCTTCATCAGCTGTGGCTTTTAGTAATCTATACTATAGATTGTAGTAATCTGTAAAAAATTACTGAACAGCTTATCCCACATCTTTCTCTTAACCATGAAGAGTTTCTGAAAGCTCATGAACCTGACTTAAGAGTGGATTAACTATATTACTTTCTCCCCATTTAGTGTTTTTCCCAACAATTCTCCTGTATTGCTGATAAGGTGAATATACTGCTTCACAGGGGTCTTGAGAGCATAAGTAGATATCACATCTCTTACCTGAAGCAAGACAGGTATACATGTTTGAGCTTCATCTGCAGCTCTTTGCAGCTGTTCAGTATATCACTAAATATTCAGCGAGGTATACCTGGTAGCATTTTAAAACTATTTTCACTTTATGAAAACTGCAGTTAGAAGACTGTACTTACGGCTGTGCAGCAAAATTGCATTATATATAGGAGTATAAATGGAATTCTCTGTGTATGTGTATTCTTCTATACATTCTTCTATGTATAGAAGATCCAAAGCGGTGTTTCATTCTGTTTTGTTCCAGCAGTCTAGACTGAGTTCTTGTTTCTAATAATGAATACTTAGATTAAGTTCATAATGCTGCCCTTTTTGGCCCTAAGTCTTGAGGAGCAAGATACTTAACTATGATTTAACTTTTCTGCTGCTCTGTAGGGAACTGAGCTTGTAAATAGATTAAATAAGTTTGTGTATTGCCTCATTAGTTTGTGTTGCCTTTGAAAGTGTCAAGCTTTGAGCTCGCTGGTATGTGGAAGATGTGACATATTGGAGTGAGTTGAGCAGAGGGTGGTCAGGGCTTTGGAGCACCTGATACACAAGGAGAAACTGGGAGAAACAGATTGTTCAGCCTAAAGAAGAGAAACTAAGACAGCTTTAATGCTGTCTTCACCTACCTAGTGGGAGAGGATGAAGATGGAGCCAGGCTCCTCTTAGATAAGAAGCAATGGGTAGAGGTTGCAACACAGGAAATTCCAATCAGATATGAGGTTGTGTATTCTCCATCGTTGGAGTATTCAGAGCTTGCCTGGGTAAGGTGCTGAGGAATGAGATCTCAGTTGGTATTGCTTTGATCAGGGGCTGGACCATGTGATATCTAGAGGCTCTCTCTGACATAAATTATTCTATTCTAATGAATATAGTGCGAGCAGTGTCCAGAATATCAGAAGAGTTATCAGAGAAGACTTCAAAATCACTAACAGAATTGCTGCCTGGTTTCAGGGTGTCAGATGCAGGCTGGAATTAATACAGCAGGACGTGATTCTCTTCTTACTCTCAAGTGGGCACTAAGTTTCTGGCATTAACTGTTACAGCAAAACTGGCTGTACTGTTTGTTTTGTTTGTTTTGTTTATTTTGTTTCATAGCTATATTGGAACAGTTGCTTACAAGCTCCTGACAATGCCTTTAGCTGATGCCCCTTTTTCTCCCTCAGACAGTGTCTGTTACCACTTGTCTGTTGTTAAGTTGTATTGTCTTCCCAGACTTCGAAAATTCTGGCATTTGTTAGTGCTTATCTAAAGTAGTCCTTTATTTTCTGTCCAAAGACAGAATTCTGTTGATGCTATATATCAGAATTGAAAGACAGTTTTCTGCAGCTGTTCATCTCCAACACTCAAGGAATAATGCAGGCCTGTTTTGTAAAAAGTAATAATCTTTAGGGGATAATTCATTGTGTCACTTGCGAATCTTTAGTCCTTGTGGTGAAAGATGTTTAAAAGGGAAACGAGTCAATGCCAAGGAGTAATACACAGTGATAGTAAGTAAAAGCTGGATACCAGTATGACAAAGTGTGACTGAGATGTGTTGAAAAGATGTAATACCCTCCGGAGAATGCATGTTATAATTGAATGCTGTGCATCTCTGTTTCATATAGCATTTGAGAATGAGTGCAATACCTGGAGCAGATGTTCTGAAAAGCAACATTGTCTGTGGTTACAAGTATTTAAATTTCAAAATTGTTATCATCTAAGTTAGATGCTGGTTACTTAAATAGCTACTGATACTGTTTTATTTACTGTTTTCCTCTTTAACTTTCCCCGTTTTCCGCTTATTCTTGAATTGCATCTTTCACATCTGTCTGATGTGAGTGCTTTGTGCTCAGTTACAATTGTCTTCATAACTCTGAATCCATCTCCCTGTTTTCTTTTCTTCCTTAACTATAAACTTGTGTGGAGAGCTGCACCTTATGCTGATTTAAAAACTGAATCTGTGTATTTCTCTTCCCCTCCCTTCTTCCCCCCCCCCCCCCCCCCGCTATCCTTTTGAATGTTTTTCTTGTTCTGCTGAAAGTACAATTTTTCTGTCATACCATCCATTTTCCCATGTTCCTTTTTTTTTCTTAGCCTCATTAAGTTTGCAGCAGCCTCTTGTTTTTTTGGAAGTTGTACTTTTGCTCCCAGAATTATGGTCTGTGCTTTGGTGGATACTTAATTACACGTCTTTTCTCCCGATTTTTTGTTGATTTAGACCACTTTAATTCATATCCTTTGCCTCATATCCACATATGCAATAGTGCTGTAGTTAGTGAAAAACTGAGACTGATAATTGTCTGGGAAGATGGAATTCTTCTATCCTGGGATTTTTTGAAAGTGTTCCTTAAAATCTCATCTATAAATGTCTTTATATCAATAGAAAATTATGGAGCATTGCTGCAGAGCAGATCATAACAACCTTTATTGATTAGTGCAAGTTAGACTATAGTTCCTATTTCTCCACACTGCTTCTCAAAGTTGCATATTTCATGTCTAGCCTGGATTAATTTCAATCAGGTTGTCTTCATGCTTGAGCTGGTATCATCTAAGTAGTAGAACTGATATCAAACTTGACAAGATGAGTTATGCTGTACTTCCAGTGCATAACACTGGCATGTGTGTCCATCACGATCTCTTCAAGACTAAACACTGATGGAGAGAACTTAAATGAGAATTGATTCTGTGAGCCTTCACAGGTGAGAAAGCTGATGATAAACCTGCAGTTTCTTCTCTGTATTGTAAGTACATCCCCTCAGGTTGGATTCAGATCAATTGTAGCATTTCACTTTGTCCTTTTTTCTTCTTTTCCTCCTTAACCTGCTTTTTAATACTGAGCAATACTTAATGGTGCAAAGAAATGCAGTAAAACAGAAAATGGTGTTTTTTCTGTCGGCATCCATCAGTACCTTTAGTGCTGTTTTTTTACTTTTTTATTCTACTTGTTTTTTCTGGTTAGAATTTTGGACTGTGTCAGGCAAGAGAGATTTGTGGCACCTACAAGAGGTTGAAAGCAGATTTTGAGTTGTTTCACTTGTTCAGGAAGTAGACGTTTGGTACTGGCCACAAGCATATTCAGTGAGTATGTACACATGTATCAGTCAGTATATTCAGGATTTATTTCCTTAGTGTCAACCAGCATATTGTATGACTAAGGAGCTGAAATAGGAGATTGGATCTTTCAGTCAAAAGACATTTATGACTTCCATGAACCACCTGAAACTTCTTGTGGAATGAACGGACCGTCACTTGAAACTGAATTGCTGTTACAAACACCTCAGCAACTTGGGGATTTTGGTGGGGGGTTTTGTTGAGTGTTTTACTTGGGCATGGGGTTTTTTTGGTTTTGATTTTTTTATTTTGAAAAGTAAAGTGGCTGCACTTTGCCACATTGTTCATTAAATGAACAGCATCTAAAGGCATGCTCTGATCAAACCAACTGTATGTATTCTCTGTCTCCTCTCTAGATCAGTGTCTCTTGTGTCTGGCCTGTAACAGAGCAGCAGTCTGGTGGCTCATTATACATTGCAAGGAGCTGTGTAGACATCAGTCCTGTAGAAATGATAAAGATTGGAGTAGCTCTTCAAATGTTGTGAGAATTAGCCTATTTCGTAAGGCAGTACTTAAATCTCACCACTACTGGCAATGCTGTTGGGAGGCAAAAGAATAATAAATACTGGGTTACTTCAGATCAAATCTAATTAGTAGGATACTTGGAATAGGGAGCATTAATTTAGAACACTGTAATATTCTTACAGGTCACTTATAGTGAGTTTCCTTAAAATGGGCTGTGAGGCAACCCTAATATGTTGCTTTTGAAAGCAGTCACCTCAGTCCTACCCACCACTTCCTTTGTCTTAGCTAGACATTCTGCTTATTGCTCTGGTAAGTTAAATCATCTCAACAACAATAACATGTACTTGCTTTCTTTTGGTGCTGGCTCAGGCAGATAAATCCACCACAAGAAGGTGGTAGAGCCAGCAAAAGACAGATAATGGAAGTGCAAGAGGAATATCTGGAATAAAATCAAGAAAGGTGACAAGGACTGTTCCTTCAGGAGCAATAAACTGCTAAGCTGGATGCTCAGCTGTCTAATGGAATTTCACTTTTCAGGAAACCAAGTAATGCTGACAAGTTATTTTGCATATAATGGTTTGGGTTTGAAGTTTTTTGGGTTTTTTTTTTTTGTTCTTTTTTCAATTTTCTTGATCACCTAGTAGCAATATTTTATTTGGTTTTGAGGAACTGGTCTTTATCACTCATTTCAGTATTAAAACCAAGATATGTAACAAAAAGGCTGGCACCATGACTTTTTTTGTTACTCCAAAATTGTAACTTCATTTTTTGCTCGTTGCTGAAGTTAGGTCACAAAGCATTCAGCAATGCACTTGGACTTACAAGGTGGAAAAAGTGAAGTCTATCCCAGTAAAAACTGTTTTATGTAGGCAGCTCTACTATAATTTTGCTGTTGAAAACCCACTCCAGAGACTTCAGAGATTAATGATGACATGTATTTCTGAAAGAGTATGTACCTCGTTGCTAAATGTCATACAGAATTGCTTTTTATATGTGTTAGTTCCTCTGTATTGCTTGGATATTAGGAATTGGATATTAGGAAAATTTCTTCACCGAAAGGGTTGTCAAGCACTGGAATAGTGGTTGAGTCACCATCCCTGGAGGTACTTAAAAGACACGTAGATGTGGGGTTTAGGGACATGGTTTTGTGGTGGACTTGGCAGTGCTACATTAGCAGTTGGACTCGGTTATCTCTAACTTCTTTCCAACCTAAATGATTCCATGATTCTTTTCTGTATTTCATTATGGCAATGACTGCAGGCATTTTTTGATAGAAGCATACATTAGCCGTGATGTATGTCAGAGCTAAAGTTTGTACAACTACAAATAAATAACTCTGTTCTGGTTTTGCCATTTTCCAGCAAAATGTGACTACTACCTTTAGATTATTTACTTTGCATGTTCCCCCTCAGTAATTGTGAAAGTGCATTTGTTTCTCCAGTAAAGAGTGTCATCTGAGCACTGACTCTTAATCAAGCTGGACAGTGCTATTTTGAGCAGTAGGTTACAACTTTGAACTCACATGTAACAGAGTTATGGCAAAAAGCTTTTAATATTGTCTGAATAGTAGGCTGAGAAAAACAAAAGTGTTGTACAGAAAGGGAATTCCTACATTAATAAAAATAATATTATATGTTTTTCAGACCTGTTTATTAATAACTTCTTTTTTAATTTTCATTTTTTAAAATATATAGCAAAATTTACCTTTTTACTGAAACTGGTACTTTTCTTCTTGACCCATTTGCCTGTGTTGTATGCGTTTAAAAACAACTCACTAGCAAATGCCCCTGTAAAGAAAAGTCTATCTCCATGCTGGTTCTTGAATTTTCTCAGTGTTTGTGTGCCTATGGTTTTACAATAAGGAAAAATCCTCAAAAAGCATGTAGGTGGCCTAAAAGAGGAGGAACTATGAGCAAAATAAAGAAAACTAGTGGAAAAATTGCTTTATTAAATGCACGAACCTTAATATGAAACTGGGCATACCCCAAGAAGGAAATTTTTAGCTATGCCATCATGGTTCATTACAGTGTTTCTTTGGGGTAGTATTTTCCTAGAAGCAGTTGGAAAGTAGATGTTGCCTGGAAAAGTGAAGAATAACAAATTTTCTTATTCTGCTCATCACTTTCCTTTTTTGCTTTAGTCCCGTCTTTAAGAGTTCCAGACCTTTAGAAAACAAATTTTGCTGAATTGCTGTAAAACGTCCATGTCTCCAAACCAAAGAAATGACATGACTGTTATATTTATTATGAACTGTTGAATCTCACTACATAATCAACCTGGACCAACATATGCATTCATTATATTTTGACATGCAACAATTTCAATGCAATAATAACGGTTAATTTCTCTGGATTATCTGGGTGGTTCTTCTCCCATTATTTGGTGGATGTATGTCTGCTGTTCTTGCATTCTGAAGTGAATCCTATCCAGTGTGGTTTTCCTTACTGGTTCAGAATTAATGGGAAGGAGAGGAAATGAATGTCCTGAGTTCTACAATACCTTTTGGTGTGGCTTCCTAGCCTAAGAGGTTCTGTCAGCATTGTACTGAAGGTGTTGTCAGATGTGTCAGGAGTTAGGCACCAGAAACATGCTTGAGTATTAGACAAGTTCACATCCGTCAGTAGCAGCGCAAATTCACGCCTGTGAGAAGTGAGTGATAAGGAAGAGTGTAGCTACAATAATGATACCAAGACTGGAAGAGCAAGCCCATTCCTTTCTAGTGCTGACCTGAGTAAAATTTGGTTGTCATTTCTGTGGGGTTGTTGCACAACAGCACAAGGGCCCCTAGGTACAATACTAAAGTATTCATGGAATTGGTGCACAAGTCTGATGTTTTATTCCCCACTCCATTAAAAACAACTAAAAATGTGACATTTTCTACTTTGCTGATAAGGGGTTTTATGCTTCTTAAAACCAGAGAATTTTCTCTTCTAACCCACTTTCAATATTATAATTCTTGTAGCTGCTGCTTTGTTTGCTTTAGTGTATTGTGTGAAGGACCATCCTGAACAAAGGGTTACAGAAAAGCAGAGAATTACAGAAAAGAAGGAGATTTTTGATATGAAGATTTGCAGTCAAGCTTAGCTTTGAAAATCCCATTTCTTTCTGGAGAGTTTTATAGGGAGAAGTTAGATTTTTTGCACTAGGTTTTTCTTACATGTGCTCATTTCAGGGTTAGCTGGCTGGTGGGCTAACGCCAAGATTTCAGGGAGGTCACCATTAGGGCTACTATCTGTTCAATTTGATGAGAAATGCAGAGAAAAATCCGATGTTCTGAAGAGACATGCAAAACTAATTGTAAATAACTGCCTAAAACTGTGTTAAATCTTCAGTACAGTATTATTGCCAGTAAAATATGAAATATTTTTTCCAAATACGTATGCAGTGACACATAATATTCTGAGCAGTAAATACCTGTTACTGTAGTCACTGTACCCTTCCATTATTCAAATTTTTGGTTAGTATGTTTTGTATTTGAGTAGATAAGTATAGTCAACTGAATCTTAATGGATGAAATTTGCTTACTACATCCTCATTTAGTACCCTTCTGCTCAGCATGGCATTTAATGGAATTTCAGAATAGCAGTTGCTCTTTGGTATCCCTTACTCAAACACCACAAAAGACATCCAGAAACATGTTGTTTGGTCTTGCAGTGATTTGTGATACTTTTGTAAAGCTAAGTTAATGAGATGGCAGCTATGTTTTTAAATTGTTTCAAAATGTTCAGGAGTGTTCTGTATTGTAGGGTGTACATTTATGTAATAAATAGAAAGTTTTATTTGAGATTTGATTTATTTTAAAAAGCAGATGTTCTGTGTTTGATCGTCATATTAACATAAAGTACCTATTCTTCAAATTGGACACAATGCGTTATTACTGACATTTATTTTGCTTTTTAAAAATTTTTTATTATTGTTATTTTCACATAGGGAGACCATTTTAAAGAAAAACCATGGGCACCTGTCTACAAAAGCAAAGCAGAGGGGAAAGCGAAAAAACAAAAAAATTAAAGGTAATCCTACAGAAATCACAAAGAAGATGTTAGGTGGAGCAGCTCATCATCCAGTTCCAGATGACCAGGACACATCAGGAAGTGAAGAGGATTATCTGGAAGAAGAAGACAGCAAATCATTGTGTATATTCAGTGAAGGTCCAGAGGATTCAGTAACAGTTTCTGAAGAACAGCCTAATGGTGATGATGAAAGCCTGAAAGAAGCTGCAGGGGTTTTAAGAGAAGGGTTTCCCATATCTGTGTCTGAGGTCTCAACAATGACCAGCAGCACACTGAAAAATGAATTGCCTGTGGAAAGCGACAGTTCACTTCTAATAGATCTAAAACCTTTTTCTACTGATAACCTATCAAAAAATGCAGTAGATAATGAGGAAACAAACATAGAAAATCTTTGCAGGAGCAGTTTCCTAAAAATAAGCAATGAGAAAAATTCTATCCAGGAAACAGAAGGTGTCTCTGAAGACTGTAACATCCTACTGTTAAGCAAAGAAAACAAACTCAGATCATATCAAAGTACACCTGAACCTGACATGGAAGCTAAGCTGTTAAGTTTAAGTGGTGAAGGGAAAGAAATCTTTCAGTGTTACAATTCAAATATACATGATAATGTGCCTGGTAATAACACAGAGGACACATGTGCAGTAAAAGCAGAAGAGAACAGCTCTAATGCCCAGGCTTTTTTTCCAATTAATTTCCAGTTACCTACTGAGGAATTGCAGCTGGGCTTTGATACACAAGTTTCTCTCTCTTCTTGGTCTGAGAATAAATCTGTAGGTGAACAAAGGCTCCCAAAAATGAGAAAACCTAAACAGACTCATATGAACAGTTCAAAACAGCTAAAATGCCGTTGGTCAAATGAAGGATTGGTGAAGGAAAACCGTCGGGTAACAGTAACTGAGGAGGCTGATAATGTAGTAAGTAATGGTCTGTCAGCACTTGCAGCTGGTGAAGTGCACTTTCATTCCCTGGTGGGAGCCAGGGCCACCTTCATTCAGTGTTCAAGTGAAGTAGATATTCCAAGAAATGATGCTGTACAAATGACATCAAAGAGAAAAAGACACAGAAGAATTGTCAACTTGGCACCAAAGTTCAATCTACCAAGACAGATTGATGGTAGTACAGATGGAGGGAAGGAAGTCCCAATAAAAGATAATGTTCCCCAGAAAAGTGTTCTGGAAGTGGGGAAAAAGAGCTTTCTATGCAAGGACCACAGAGAAGAATGTGAACAGGACCATGCATTGCAGGAATATTCTGCAGCTTTCAGTGGCACCAAGGCAACCTATTCCATGCCTACTTCCGACTCAGATGTTCTGTTACATGGTATTTCTTGCATTCATTTGGGACAGTCTTCTCCTATGCCAAAATATTCCTGCAGAGTTTGTGTGGTTTCCGGGATGAAGAAGGAACAAGCTAGAGCTCTTCAGCAACAGGAGGTAGTTGATAAAACAGAGGGCGAAAGCGAACAAGTTTCTTCAGAGGTTACAAATAGCCGACCAGATATTTTGTCGTCTGTGAAAGTTGTTTCTGAATGTTCCGAAGATTCCAGTATGCTGGCAAGCTGCAGTGAAAACATGCAGGAAGCAGATGACACTGAGCCAGCAGAGGCCTCACAACTCAAAGATAATCAACATGTGAATACGGCATATAATTTTCTGGGACTTCCCTTATCATTAGGATTTGCTTTTCAGCTTGTGCAGCTCTTTGGTTCTCCAGGTCTTCCACTGGGTAATACTATTCTTACTACTCCTATGTGAAAAACCAAAACAAAACAAAAAAACTCAACCCAAAAAACCCACAACCCCCCAAAACCCACAAACGAAAACCAAAACACTCCTGGAAAACCAGAAAACAAACAAACCCCCCCATGATTAAATACTTTATTTTAGGTACCAATTAATCAAATATTAATCCTATGGAAAGGAGTTATTGCTGCCTTGGTGATTATTTGGGGTTTTTTAAATGTAAAATTCATTCTCTCTCAAGGTGCTGTTTGGTTTGGCTTTGTATTTGCAGTCTTTTTAGTTACGAAACCTTACTACTTTAAAGAATGAAGCTCTTCTTGTTTTAATACACCCTACTGTGTAAGACTTTACTGTCTTGATCACAGAACTAAATGAAAACATGGTACAAAATCTGTGCTCTAATACAGAGGTGGCATGGTTTATATTACACCTGGTTAATATGACAATATTCCATTTTCTTTATTTAGTGAAGTTTTAGTTTAAAATCTTGATCCCTTGTCCTATCACAACAAGCTCTGTTAAAAGCCTCTCGCCATCTTTCTTAAAGACCCCTTTTAAGACCTGAAAGGCTGCAATAAGTCTCCCTGGAGTCTTCTCTTCTCTGGGATGAACAGCCCAAACTCTCTCACCCTTTCCTCATAGGAGAGGTGCTCCACCCCTCTGATCATTTTTGCATTATTAAGTGCCACAGTGTTATATACTTGCCTTCCAGAGCTCCAATTGTCATACTTTTACACTTTCATTTAATCATTGTTAGCACTTAAGAAAAATGGCAATCAGTCGTCAAAGGAGTTGTGTGTGGCAACAGTGATTTCCAACTTTTACTACAGGCTAATGTAAGCCTACAGAGCTGTAGCCAGCAACAAGAACAGCCATTTATTTGGAAATCACACTAAGACATGGATTTCCTGTGCATGAAGTTCTGCAAGCTTCCAAATTTAGTCAGTGGAGAAACAGTAACTTTGATTTGGCCAACAAATAGGATTAAAAACCAGACTGTTTTGGGTTTTTTTTTTCAGCACATAGACCTTTACACCTATTGGTTTCAGTTAAAGTTAAGCATGTAGTTTCATATAAGCATTTTTTAGGTGGCAGGTGACTTCTGCCTGTTTATCTGCCCAAACTGACCTCAGGATTCCTTGTTTTTATTGTAAAAATTGGTGGCAATGCTACCTGCAGAATAGTGATGTAAACCACTGGCAGCATTATTCAGCTTGGTGCCCAAAGGACCTGCAAAGCTGCTTTATCTAAACCTGGCACCACACACCAAAAAGCTTGACCTGTAGAGCTCTACTTCAACAGAGCACAGGAGTTCCACTCATGTCCTCTACTGTTACATACAAAACATTTTTCTCCTCCAAACTTGGTGAGTCTTCATAGCCGTGATCTTAAATTTCATCATCTTAGAGGGAGTTGCCCATGACTTGAAAACATGGATCTTCTGAAGGGGGAGTTGAACAGGCAACGCTTGGTAGGTTAGTGAACCAAATGTTGTTCTCCTCCAGGTCAGTAACAGGTGACATTCTTTGGTGTTTAGGTGAGTTTCCTTTGGAAATAATGTTCAAGAAGTACAAACCCACCCCAGCATCTCTCTGAAGCCCTGCCAGGTGTTCGCTGGGGCTTTTTTCATCAAAAATATGCCTGCTGTCTGCAGAAGTTTGTCCGCATTCTGGTTTGACTATAATTTTCCTACAGGTTCAAAAGTTCTTTTCTGTGACCTGTTATCTATTATTTATCCATGTACACATTTAAACTACAGTATTTTACAACACTGGCAATTGCAGTAATTTTTTTTTATTATTATTATTATTTTGGAAGGAAAATTTTTGGTAAACATTTTTAGTTATTTAGAAATGAAAGATTTAGTTACTGACTTGCTTGTATCATTCTCATATAAAATATATTTTAGACTGTTTTCCTACAAAGAATCTCTTTTCAGCTTTTTAAACAGCATTAGAACATTTTAGAATGTTGTGATATTGTACAAATTCCTATAATTCAACGTTTTAAAATGTAAAGGTTGTTACTTAAGTTGCATTTGTTTAATTTGTGGGCTGAAAGCTATTGATTTTTCTTGTTTGCACCCAGTTTTGAGGGAGTATATCAGGGAAACGGAAGTATGGTAGGAAAGTCTTTGCCTGAAAAAAGAAACCAAACCCAAATCTCCTTTCCCCTCCTACCCCTCCTGTGCACTGGCCTTAGATTCTACAAAACCTAAATTTTGAGTTTGCTGCTGGCCCATTTAAATACCGGTGGTGGTTTTTTTTTAAGTCTATATATATAATGTGTGCAAAACTTGTAATTCAGTGATATATTTTGGCTATGAAGAGATCTGAACACTCAACTGCACAAAATATTTTCTCCTGCAGAATCCTTGTTGCCAGATGATTATATAGTTCCTCTTGACTGGAAAGTTTCAAAGATGATCTATTTACTGTGGAAGACCTCTGTGGAGGTACGAATTTTGGGAGATTTTTGAAAGCTTTCCAATATTCCAGGTGTAAAGAGGAATTCTTCGGTTCATAAGCAAGATGATGTTCTTTGCTAGTAAATTTGCTTTGTGGGTTTTTAATACCAGCAATGAGAAGGTGGATGTTTTATGTATTCTTCTAGGTAGAAAGTGGAAACTTACAAATTACTTTTCTCCCCACTGTGACTGTTGCTTTGTGAAGGTTTGTTTTTATTTATGGAGCACGGTAATGTCTGGTAGTGGAAATGAGGAAAATCCTGTAAATACAATGAAATAGTAATTATAAAATAGAGCACGAACCCTGTTCTTCCCCAAAATAACAAATTCTCTTGTCACATACTTTCTTCTTTTCTCTGGATTATTATTATCTATTTTAGGAAAAACAGAAAACAAGCGGATTGCAGAATAGAAACGCTTTGGCCGGTAAGTGTATTCTGTGGTACAAGAACTGTATAAAATACTTCTTGTTCAGAAGAGAGAATAGTTAATGCTGAAGCATATTGAAGGTTTTCAGCACAAATGAGTCATAACACTCTGCTTTGTGCAAAAGCTTTAGGACGTGACAAATGAATTTGTGCCTCCATTAATTGTGCACATAGTATAGCAGAGCTGTGGTCACTGTGTTGCAAGAGCTGAAATTCCTTGGCTTTTCAAGTTTCCCATATGGAATTAATCCAATACTTAGCTCAAGTTTACCTGTTCCAGATCAGAAGGATGTTTTGCATGAAGAAGTCTTAAAGAAAGATTTTATTTCTCTAAAAGGTTGAGCATCTTTGACTTAATTAAATTAAATGATCACTAAAAATTGTCAGCTTGATAATCATAGAATCCCATGTTGGCAGGGACCTTAAGGATCCTCTGGTCCAACCTTTCTGGGCAAAAGAACTGTCTAGACAAAATGGCCCAGCACGCTGCCCAGTTGAATCTTAAAAGTGTCCAACACTGGGGAATCCAGTGGTTCCCATGGGAGATTATTCCAATGATTGATTGTCCTGATTGTGGAAAATTTTTCTCTTGTGTTCAATTGGAATCTCCCTGCACTAACTTTGTATCCATTATCCCTTGTCTATTCCATGTGACTCCTTGTAAAATGAGAGTCTCTGTCTTCTTTGTAGCCACCCTTTAAATACTGGAACATGGTGATCAGGTCTCCCCTGAGCCTTCTTTTCTCAAGGCTGAACAAACCCAGTTCTCTCAGCCTTTCCGCATGTGGCTTCCCAGTCTGTTGATCATCTTTGTGGCTCCAATCTGGACCCACCTGTCCGCATCTTTTTTTATATAGTGGGGACCAAGGCTGAACACATTATTCCAGGTGTGGTCTGAGAAGAAGAGTGAAGTGGGATAACAGCATCGTTGCTGCAGATGCCCTTGATGTAACCCAGCATCCTATTGGCTATTCCACAGCAGCACACTGTTCACTCATACTGAGCTTCATGTCCACCAGGACCCCCAGTTTCCTTTCCACAGAGCTGCTCCCCAGTTCGGAGGTCATGCACTTAAGCAGCATGAGGTATCAGGATACATGGGAAGCTTTGGACTTCTGCTTGCATTAATTCCTGCAGTGTGGACGTTATGGGATAAGGTTGCTGCTTGTCATTTTCCATGACTTCCATATTAGTGTAGTATAATTTCACAAATTCCATAATATGAGATTAGAAATACACAGTAGTAGTTCCATAGAAGCTGATAGGATTTCCTGTCTAAAATAGGAGGGGAGTTGGGTTTTTTTCTTACAAAAGAGAAAAGGATGCTCTTCAGGAGCTGAGAAGAAACCTAAGAGTAGGAAAACACACACACATTTGCTCTCGGTCTCCCCCTGCATCAGAGACAAACCTGAAGGATTTAGTTTATTTTGTAGGCCATTTAGAAGGGAAAATCAAGAACATTCTGATTAAATGAAAGTTTGTTCTAGAAATACTCTATCCTGACATGTTATAAATGCCAGACTACGTAAGATAATTTCAGGTGTCTTTGGCTGCAGTTTATAAGTGATTTATTTTTCAGATGATTTTATTGGTCTTGAAGATACACACAAAAATCACCAAGAGAATCAAGACTCTTCTGAAGCACTTGAAGTAGTGGAGCTGTTTCAAGGGATGATAGAGGAGAACACTGTGGCCTGCACTGGCACTGGCTCTCTGGATGCCGTGTCTCATCAGCCATGACTGACTATATTAAATTCTGCATGATGGAAAAGGTAATCAATCCCCCTGGTGAATGTGTTTCATTCGTGTATTATATTTGACTAAAGAACATTGTTTGTTATAATTTTAAGATGTCTTTAGTCTCATCCAGCTTAGTTGATTTTTTTCTTCAAGTTAGGGTTGAGGGTTGTTTTGGTTCTTGAGGTTTGTTTTAAGCCTGAATGGGGAAAAGAGAAGGCAGCATTGTTATGAAAGGCATTTTTTCTCCAGAATCTAAAACCTGCCTGGTGAAGTGAAAGCAGCAGTCTAGGATGCCTAAGATCTGGGCTGTATTCCCAGTTTGGTTACTGTGGCAATCTGCTGTGAGTCATGTCATCTCAGTCCTATTTTTCTCAACTCTTCAATGTAGTAAGCAGTGCTGACTCCATAAAGGGTCTACCTGTGAAGAGCACTGTATGAGCAATAAAACAGTATTTCACCAAGTTATGACAGTTCTGCATTTCAGCTGGGAATCAGCAGCAGGAGGTCGCAATAGGACTCCATATATTGAAGTCTTAATTTTTCATGGATGTTTTCATTTGGTATGACAAAGTGCACTACTGAGTATTGGAAAGTATTGCAATTGTGTTCATGCTTGGCTTGCGAATTTTTGAAAACTTGGCAAAATTTCTCCAGTTTGCTTATGGGAGATATTCTAGGTAGATCGTGATAGGAAGGAAGGTCTTTTGGATCCAGCAGGAAAATGCTAGCTTAACTTTTCATTGGTGGTTTGTTCCAAGTGGCAAATGGATTAATCTCCAGTTTTAAAACAAGCAGACTGAGGTATGTGGAAACAGAATAACTTGCACTGTGGTCAGATTGAGCCAGAAAAAAAAGAAATCCTGAGGCTTAAATTATTCCCATGCAGACACCACAGGACTGCTGGAAGCTCATCCACGTGAGGTCTGGCCAGGGGTCTGTCTCCCGGTGTCCTGTGCCTGACCTGAGCATGAGTCAGTGGCTGGAGGAGGAGTCACAGATATGTTCTGTGCTGGGACAGTTACAAAAGCAGAAGTTGACGTTTTAGAAGGCTTCTTAATTTTCAGGGTGGAGGCTCATGACAGAAGTAAAGTAGTTGAATAGTTTGGGATGGAATTGAAACCTCTTGACTGGGGGTTGATTTGATTATACGTGTTTTTATATCATTGATGACAAAAATGACATTGGAGGTCACTTGCTGATTAGCCTGTACCAACTACCGATGTAGGAAGGTGAGGGGAGTCTCTGAACCGCACAGTACCAACAGCACTAATCTCACAAGGTGCTGTCAGCACAGATCATTAACAACATCAAGAACATCTGGTAGCAGTATTTTACATAATCAAGCACTAAAGTATTTGGTAAGCAAATAAAAAAATATTTTCACCAAATGCTTTGTCCTGTTTCAGCCACAAATTATTGAAAGTTACTCATTTGTAATAATGCAGATGTGAATGCTCTACAGGCAAGGATTTGCTTGTGATACTCACTGGCTGTCGCAGTGTGGATTTGTAACCAAAGTTACTACCCAGAATTATCCAGGTTTATTAAAATGTTTGTATGCTAAAGAAACAAGCTCAGAGAGCTCTGTTCAATTCCCTGAGGAAAACTGTGATTAACCTGGAAATTCTTTCCTTTGTGTGCTGTCTTAGTGTGTCCTGTGCATTTGTGAGCCAGCCGCTGACTGCTGCTCTGTAATGAAGCGTCGTTAAACCCCAGTTTGTAACATGACGTTGCAGTCTAATACTCTACTGGACTGGCTTATGTTAGCCCTAGGGAACCTAGAATTAAAGCAATGTGTACTTTGCCATGAAAAAGGACTCCCAGTCATTTTTATTTTTTTTTCTTTTTAAAAGAAGGCACTGCATGCTCTGTGCAGAAGGCCTTGGCAATGAAGATCTGTGCTGAGATGGGGTGACTAACCTGGAAGTCCCTGCTGGCAGATGAAGCCTGTGTAAGGGTTGATTGCCCTGGTCCCAACCTCCTTGCAGCAGCTTTGGTGCTCAGCAAAGCCTTTGACTTGGGAGTGCTAAACTGGCTAGGGCTCTGTGTTGGGATGAGAAGTTAGTCAGGGGTTTTGGGGGGGGGGTGTTTGGGATTGCTTTGGGTTTTTTGTTTTTTTAGTTCACCATCTGAAATGAGTCAGGGAAAGTCCTGAAGGCTGTTGGAGAAAGAGGATGAGACACCAGAGCCTGGATAGTTTTAGGCTGCTCTGGAGCTGTGGTTTTGCCTCAGGCCAAGCTGTTGTGATGGCTCACTGCCACAGACAGTGGAGTGGGAGGTACCCCTCCTCCCAGCCCTGTGCCAGTTTTCAGCTCCGGCACTTCCTGGCTGGCATGAAGGCTACAATTTCACTTGTTAACACCAGAGGAAACAAATGGATTGTTTTCTTCTGGGCTGGCAAATTTAGATAAGACTCTGCATGGTCCAACTCAGCGCTGAAGCTCTGGGACCAGGGAGCAGACGGGGTGCTGCTGCTGCAGATGTGCAGTCAGCCCTGATACCAGGGACCACGTATCGTGTGATCATGCCTTCAGATGAAAGACTGGTTTTAAGCTTATACAAACGTTCCCCAGAGAAGCTGTGGCTGCCCCATCCCTAGGAGTGCTCAAGGCCACGCTGAATGGGGCTTTGAGCAACTTGGTCTAGTGGAAGGTGTCCCTGCCCGTGGCAGAGGGGTTTGAACTAGGTGATCCTTAAGGTCCCTCCCAACCCAAACCAGTCTGTGATTCTATGATAAATATTAGGATTTTTTAATTAGAAAAATTAAAAAGAAATATTCAAAAAGCAAAACACATTTCTTAGGGTTTTCAGTTGACTCATGCTTACTGTCAGGCACAGGATACCAGGTGATGCAAACCCTTGGCCAGACCCCAGGTGGGTATTCTAGCAGTCCTCTGAAGTCTGCATGTGTAATTGCTGTAAAAGGAAGGTGTGCTTTTCTGGCCAATAATGCCCCTGCTTTCGAGGGATAAGGTTGTATTTCCTCACCACAAAATCATTCTCTTCTGGTTGCTGATAAAGCAGACTTGCCAAGAATGATGTCCCAGAGTGGCTGTAAAACTGCTCCAGTGAACAACTATAAATGTTGAAATGGATTTGATTTCATCAAATGTCTGGGGGGAGGAAAAGTAAAAAAGCTGAGGCATTCCTTCCAAAAGCTTTTAAAGTCATGGAAAATAAATGCAGACCTGGTATGATCACTTCAGTCCCTTTAGATTGGAAAATAAACTAAGCAGTACTGGCCAAGTGTAACTTAATCTGTTAGTCAGATGATCATGCTTCTGTATTCATGTTCTGTAAGGGTGGTTTTATTTAAATGGCAGAATGAACAGTGTTGGTGTTCCTCTGTGAAAACACAAGGTTGACCTCAAGTTGTTGTGAGAGCTCCTTGTAGTTTCATTGGCAGCACATCAGCATTTGTTCTGGAGATTAAGCAAGAAATCCAGGGTTAAAAAACGCTGAGCTCAGTGAAAACAGCATTATTTCGGTGACTGCCAGTTCTCCTTAGAGAAGGACTCATGAGTGCCAGGTGCTGTACAAATGCAGAATAAGAAGACAAAACCCAGTGTCAGTTTAATCATTTATCTGCAGGACTACTGCAGAATAACTGTTGGTATGTTTCTTTGTGAAGTGTAGCAGTCAGTAACTCCCTGCAGGAAGACTTCCTCCACAACAGCCCGATCAGGCTGTGGTTTTGATGAAATGAATCTCTTCATGACATGTATTACTGCTCCTCCTTTCCCTGGCTGGGCTATTCCCATCACTTCCCTTAGCTGGACGTGATGCTTCAGCAGCTAGGCTGAGGCAGTTCAGCTCAATCATCCAGTGCATAGAGGCATCCAGAAAGTTTTCAGCCTGGACCAGTGAGCTGAAACAACTTTTCCTTGAGCCGTGTGATCAGCAGGACACATGCAAAGGAGCAGGAACATACAGCTGGGACAGGAAGGACAGTCTTTTGGCAAGGATGTCATGTGGGACAGTGTTGAATGCTTTGTACAAGTCCAGGCAGACAACATCAACTGCTCTGCCTCCACCAAATTGGTCAGGCGTGATTTGCCCTTAGTGAAGATATGTTGGCTGTCACCAACCATCCCATGGCCAAATCTCTTCTAGTTGCTACTTTGATACAATGATAATAAAAAAATAGTTTCTCTATCCTTTGACATTTAGCCACTAATTAAAAAAATGAAAAAAAAAGGACATGAAAAAGTGCACAGAATTGTGACCAGAAAACCTCACCTGCCTTTCACAGTGCTCACCAGGAAAACCCGGCCTACAGTTTACTTAAGCAGACAGTACAACTACCAGGGTGGGTAAGAGCTGCCCAGAATGGTGTTTCTGGAGCTCTCAGACAAGAGTAACCATCAGGCTCTCCTGGTGGCTCCCATGAACTGCATAACTTGGAGGCCTGTGAGGTCCCAAGTAAATGTAAGGGGAAAGACTTGCAACACAACAAAACAATTATAGGATGTAGCTATGCTATAGTGGTATCAGTTGAAAAGCTATTAATTATATAATGTTTGTGACATGTAGAGGAAAAAAAATCCACTGTTACTCTTCTCTTTATTTTTCAGCCTTGAGATTGCTACATCCTTACTGTCTAGTTTTGACATCCAAGTTTTCATTTCCATTCTTGCATTTATTTTCCTTTTGCTTTCCATCACCTGCTTCCTCTCCATTCTTTTAACTTTTTAAAGAAATAACCAACAACTGAGTATGAGAAAGACTTTTAAAAGTATCAGACAGGTGAACTCTTCTCAGTCAGATTTGCAACCATTGAAGTCTTTCTGCAGTCTGTGCTGTTGTGGTATTTCAGCAGAATCTGCTATTTTTTCTTTCAGAAACTTCTCACTTTGATTGCACCATGGAAGGACTTCAGTTGGCCACTGAAAATTTTAAACGTGAGGAGTAACCTGGAAGGAAGAAAAACACTGTAGATTCTTGGCATGAATCTTTGGCCACCTTCTCCACAGCCCCCTGACAGCAATCTCTCTGTCCACGTGTGAAAAGTCAAAATTGAGATAACTCTGTTGTGTGTGCCATAGGGTCACTTTCTGAAGCCCTTTGGGATTTATACCTTCTTAGTACATCCTTGAGTGTAGTACAAAAAGATTGAGATAAGAAACCTGTAAGCAGAAAGGAGATGTCTGTCAGCATGAGGTGTGAGCTTCAGACTCTGGTATTTAATTCACTTGTATCAGGATCCAAGATGTTGCCACATCAGCTGGTACACGAACTGGTAGTGATGCCTACCTGCAGGGAAAGGTGCCTGTTATGTGTCTTACCCTACTTCTGCTTTTTATCCTGCCAGTCATAATCACACCCCAGTCTGTTTACAACCTCAGGTGGAATGTTTTCATCAGTAACTCCTATTCTTTCACCCAGAGGTGCACAACTTACCACTTTTTCTCCTAAAACTAGGCTTAGTGGTTCCCTTCAACTAGACTTATTTGGGACTATAGAAATAAGGAGAAAATTCACTATAGATCTGGTTCAGACACATTGGAGGTGAGGTGCATATGGTTTGTGGTAGATTGATAAGCCTTATAAGCACTGGTAATGAGTGATTTGATATTTCTGTTAGTAGTATTGCTTTTGCCATTTTTTACTTAAATTCTTATGATTTAAGCCTGAAGCAGTTGCTTCCTCTTTTTTTTTTTCTTTAATATTGTGGTTTTCCCCTCAAAATTAAGCAGTGTTCATTCCTCAGCTAGAACAGTAACCTTACTAACAGCAATTCTGTTACTGAGGAAATTGTCCCAGTAACATGAGTATTGATTTCCAGGGGGAGATGGGTAGCAGAAATGAATGAACCCCTGACAATAAAATCTAAAATTTTGCTTATGGAAATGTCTATGTAAGGCCTACACAGATATCAGGAAAGCTGGAAATTCTTACATGTGCAGGGTGAGCTAAACTAGTTAGGTGATGAATTTAATCCCATGAAAAATCATGAGTGCTTGTGGAAATAGCAAGTAAAGTAGGTGAGACAGGCAATAGAGAATGGAGGGAGGTGAAAGGACAAATGGAATTACACCTAGTTAATTAATCAGAAAGAGCAACCTTTGTCAACTGAGACCTGCATAAGGCTGGAAATTACTTTGTAGTGAGAGCGAGTGATAGAAAAGACAGCTATAACCTCATGGTGAAAAAAGATGAGAAAAGATCAATGAGAAGAGGGGAAGTAAGGAAACTTAGGTTGTGTGTACTAGCCAAAAACAGTATTTCCCATTTACACAGCCTCCAGATCCAGAATATTGATTCATCTGTTCATTCACCTCCTCTTCTCCCTCTTTCCCTGCGCCCTTTTTGATGTGCATCAGCTGAAGAGCTGGTACCCAACTGCAGTCATGCTGAAGCTCCACTGTGCTCTGAATTGCTGATGTGTCCCCACTCTCCACTCAAACAAATCCTGCATATAAGTGTAAGCAGCTAAAGATGTTTGTAGCTCTAAATTAAAGATGTTTGTAGCTCTAAATTAAGGTTGTACTATTGGCGAAATGTACCAGCTGCACTTTTTTAATGCATTTCTTATGTACTTGTGTGATTTTTACTTTCCTTGGTTGGAAATGTGCTGCCCTTCTACCAGCAGAATGTTATACAAAATGTCCCAGAGAGAAGGAAGTTAATTCATGCTGGCCATAGCTACAGCTTCAGACTTACCTGATGTCCCACTGGCAGCAGGCAAATTAGTTTGATTTCAAGAAAATGTCACTTAAGGGTTAATATTTTCTTCCTACTTCTGTTTATTGAGAGAGAAATCTGAATGCCTGTATTTTCAGTTACTGAATACTGACCTTCCAGATTGCTTAAAATTAAAGTAATTCTAAAAATCTCACACTGCTCTTGTATGGACAAAAGGTGTTTCATCTCTTTAGTAGGGTGTTGCCAGTTTAAGTTTACTTTAAACCCCCTTGGGTATCTTTGAGTTTTCAAGTTTATGTATCTTCTTTCCTACCACTGTTTTTTCCCACTTGCTTCAGCTAGTCTTGGTGTGCCACATCCAGGGAGATAAGCTGCCTCCTGATCTGTGAACACTCTTTAGGTGGTATTTGCAAACTTCAGACCCAAAAGCTTCAGTGTTGTAGTTTGGTGGTGGCGTGTCCCTGTGGCATGTCCCTGCGGTATGCCTGAGGCCACCCACCTTTTAACCAAGCTGAAGTTGATACTGCATGTGCCTCTGAAAGGAAGAGTGTGATGCCATGCCAGCTGTTACTGGGTTTACTGGAAACTGGAAATTATTTCTTTGGCTTGTGTGGTGATCAACTTAGAGCAGATCAGATTTTCTTTAGGGGAAATAAATCTTATTAAACTCCCTACAGTTTTTCTCTTGTGATAATGTATTTGAAAAAAGTGGAGTTGATGGAGTGAGCGTGATGCACAGGGTCATTGGTGTAGGGCAGTTGTTTGGCTACAGCTGCTTGGAATCCTTGCCTGCCTTTGTGGTGGGGTGGACTCCATCACAGTCAGGGAGGGGAAGAGGGAAGGAAGAAAAAAAGCCCCATCTGTATCTGGTGTCCTGTAGATAGCTACACTCCTCGTAAGAGTTTTGGTGATTCCCTTTCTGGTATGACCAATACACATGGGCAGCACAGGCGACTGAACGCGTTCAGCACTGGCTTGTGTTCTCCCACTTCTGAGGATTTGGGAGTTAATCTTGATTTTTAAGTTATGAAAGATGGTCTCTTGGGCTAACGTTCCGGGTAGAAGGCCAGTGCCATAACTGCACGGTTTTGCGGCATGAGCAGCCAATGTCCTTTCTTTCCTGTATACTTCTCCTTCAGGCAGCTTTCGTTTTCACGGAGGAAGGTCTCGGGAGCTTGGGACGGATCCCAGGTCTCCCTCCACCGAGGAGCACGGGTTTCCCCCACCACCCTGTCAGTGGACGACACAAGCCGCGGCGGGGAGCCGGGGGAATGATCCCCGGGGCCAGGCTCCGGAGCGGCAGCCCGGGCTTCCTCCTCCTCCCCGCTGCTGCGGGCCGGGCCGGGCCGGGCCCGGCTGCTCCTGCCCCGCTCTCTGCCGGGGCCGGCGATGGATGAGCGGCTGCTGCAGGCCCTGGGGCGGCTCAGCCTGCAGCCCCGGCGGGGACGGTTCGCCGGGCGGCTGGTGCTGCTGCGCGGGCTGCCGGGCTCCGGGAAGAGCACCTTGGCCAGGTAAGGCGGTGGCTCCGCAGCCCTTCGTCTTTCTCCTCCTCCGATGGCGGCTCGGCCCCCGGCGGCCCCCACGCGGGGTCCGTGTGCCGGGAGCGGCACCGCGGGGTCCCCCGAGCAGGAGACACCGTCGTAAACCACGCGAAGGCGGGTGAGGCACCGGTTCAGAGCTGGTTCTGGCTCAGGGGGAGGTAGGAGCCTTGCAGGACCCCCGACGAGTAAGCGCAGCCGTTTGGAAACCTCCTCTGCTCCGGGAACCGCTCAGAGCCTTTCTGCTCCAGCTGCCTGTAACTGCTTTGGGGAAGCGCTGCCTGTAGAACTGTGAATGTTGCTCGGAGTGGGCAGTACCAGAAGGGATGTTTATATTAAGATGGACTAATCACCCACTCCAGGCAGCTGTTTCTTCTCTAAGAAGTGCCTGACTAGTCCCTTTTTGTTAGTGGTGGGTTTTGTTTGTTTGCTTGGTTTTGTTTTGTCTTGGATTTGTACGTGGTTAATCACACAGTAAAGCACTTCCTCTCCGACTGAAAACTGACAACTCTGACTTGTGTTTTCATGGTGTCCAGCATTCCTGGTCAGACCTATAGAGTGCATAAAGTGGGCAGACCAGCCCACTCCCCAACAGCTCCAAGACTGACTAAAAATAGGTGGAAAACCCCGGAGGGGAGTGCTGGGAGAGGGCACCGCAATGAACATGATGCAGCATAGCCACAATCTGGTATCACAAGACCTCACAGTTCAGTACCTCACGGCTTCTGGTGCCACTCACCCACTCTCCATCAAAAGAGGAACACTCGCTGTCTTCTTCCTCTGCTTGGGTGAGAAACACATGCTGGGATCATGGGCTGCCAAAGGAAGGGCTCTGCTGTGGAAGGTGTGTGAAATACTGGGTTAATGTACAGTTTCCTATTGTCAGTACAGTCCTTCCTCTCACACTGTGCTTTCTGCCTCACGGGACTTGGGCAAGACCAAGTTCTTTAATGAACAGCAAAATGCAGTGTTTTTACTGGCACCCAAATGTGTTCTCCCGAAAGAGGTTGTGTAAATCCTTCTTCAGAAGGGGCTGGGTCTTCTCTTAGTGCAGAGCATAATGGTTTGAGGCCATATTCTCAGGCAGTGCAAATAACTGACTCACCTATGTGCTTTTTGGTTACAAGACAAAATTACTTATTAATGACAGATTTACAAACCAGTTGTAAGTATTGTTTTAGACTCCTTGCAAAATGAGCGTTTGAGGACCTTACTCTGTTTCTACCCCTGTTAATGATATCATTGCATTCAGCTGCTCAGCAGTCCACAGATCAAAGGGCAGCATTAAAAATGGTATTTCTTACCTCTCCATTAACTCTGCCCACATTATGGAAGGACTGTGCTACCAAAATTCTGAGATGTGCTATTCCCACGTTGCGTACCATTTGGTGTTGGTGAACAGAACGTGCTGAGCAACGTGATGTCTGCAGAAAACTACTGCAGCAAAGCTCAGGGCAAGATCCTCCTGGAGGAGGAGGAAGGTGATTATTTATTTGCAGAAGTAAGCAAAAAGGTTGTCTAGAGAAGTTGCCCCATCCCTGACAGTGTTCAGGGCCAGGTTGGAAAGGGGCTTTGGAGGAAGGTGTCTCTGCCCACAGCAGGGGGGTGGAACTGGATGAGCTTTAAGGTGCCTTCCAACCCAGATGATTCTATGATTCTGTGATTCTGTGACTTCAGCTCTGCAGCACCAGGCAACACAATGTAAACACTAACAGGTGATTACACAATCCTGAATGTATTTACCAAATGTGACTTGCAGCCTGATCCCATGCAAAGTACGTCCACTTCTCTACCCACTGTAGGTGAGACACCCAGGTATGTGGGTGCTTTGCCAACAGAGCTGTTGGCCGAGCAGGGCAAAGTCCTCACCACGCTGTTGTTGAAACACAACAGTGTTTCAGTGCTAGTGCTGGGCATGTGCTCCAGATCTCATTTTCTGCTGAAACTAAAGGCTTTCAAATGTCACAGAAATGCTTTACATTGACAGAAGTGACCACAGGAAGTGGTTGCATGTGATCTCAGTACCTACGTATTTTGATCTCAGTTACATTGGAAATAGACTGAGAATTTTACTGGCTCAGAGATCTAGCCATCCTGTTGCCTTCTGAGCACTGCAAATGTTCCTTCCAATCTGCATACCTGGCTCAAATCAGAAATCAATTAATTTTCACATTTTCTGATGGAAAAACTTGACAGCCTATGGAATACTGTTATGGGTTTTTTTTTCTCTCCAATAACATTACTAGTGATCATGGAGACTTCTCCCAAGTACTCTAATGCATCCAGCTAATTGAAATCCTGAATATTTGCTTTTTGTCTACGCATATAGTTAACATCTGAAATGATGGTTTGAAAGCACTGAAGATGCTCTTTAGAAAAAAGGGACTTTAAAATGGTATAAAGCATGGGAACAGATTGTAGCTGAATAATAGAGGAGACTCTACTCACTGAAGCAGCTGTTACAGTGCTGCTTTGGTCAAACAGAAACGCAGCAGTATAGAATCATAGAACACCAGCTTAGAAGGGACCTCAAGGATCATTTGGTCCAACTTTTTAAGGCAAAGCATGGCCTAGGCTAGATGTCCCAGCACCCTGTCCAGCTGAATCTTAGAAGTGTCCAATGCTGGGGGACCCACCACTTCCCAATGGAGATTATTCCAATGGCTGATTGTGTTCACTGTGAAATTTTTTCCTCTTGTGTCCAGTCAGAATCTCCCCAGGAGTAACTTGTGTCTATTACCCCTCATATTTTCCATGCAACTACTTGTAAAAGGGACTCTCCATCTTCCCTTATCCTTTGTATTTTCCAAAACAGCAGCAAACTTCTCTTTAGCAAGATACAGAGCATATCCTACTTTGTATTTACTACAAGGTAGAGAGCTGTGACGCTGTGCAATTAAATGTCCCAAGTAGGCAAATTAATACTGAACCTTTGACAGGTCCTGCTTATTGCAGCACAGCCCTTTGAGTTCAATGGCTTTTTTTAAGAAATGCAAACACAGCTCATATATACCCTTCGGTCTTGCAAAGAGATTTCATTTTGCTTTTCCTCCTCAGTATGCTTTACGCTTTAGGGATCTAACAGCACTGGGTAATTTTCTTTTTACAGTGCTGCTCACAATGTAATAATTGATAACACTGGGCACAAATCCTCCCATTTTGCACAGCTGGGGTATATTTTGCTAAAATAAAGGTGTATTTATTGCATACAGGGATTAGAAGTCTGATATGATTATGTAAACCCCTTCTTCTCAACCCCGTTGTGGGCCTGTGTAGGTCATAGAAAACTTATTTCTGACGGAACATAGTATGAGTAAGTATAAGGGACAGAAAAACCTTCACAGGCAATAGGTGATTAGAGAAAGTGGTCAGTGTTAGTTTGGGTGTTTTAGAAAGCTAAAAGTGAAAACCAGCAAAATAAGCAGAAGGTGAAACACCTTTTTCCCACTTAATGTTTTCTTAGTTGCTGTTAGTAGGAGTTTGTTTGGTATGAATATAGCAAATGTGACAGTAATTCATAGCTGTTAGCACATTTTGTGTCCTATTTTATCTCCTTTGAAGCACAAGTTTTATCTACTTTAATTACCTGTGATATGAGGACAGTAGACTGAGTTTATAGATAATCATGTACTATTTAGATTGCTTAGTGGTTAATAGCAAAGTCCTCATGCGACCCTGCATATATACGTGTTAAAAATTCATTAAGGTGTACGCTAAGAACATAATTGTTTAAAATGGCACCGGTCAAGAACATTTTTAAAGGAAACACTGAGCAAGAAAAAAACCCAACCTTGAGATCTTTTATTAATGTGTACAATTCTACGTGCCTGTTGGTAGCTAAAGGGCCGACACGTATTTTAGCACAGCCAAGTTTTTAGAGAAGAGGCTGTGATGCAGGTGGGTAGAGCAGAGGGAAAGGTGAGGTGCTGAATTGTAGTGAGAGCTGAACCGCTCCGTTCATCAGCATGGGAATAACCAGGTGTGCATTAGGTGCTCCCATGCTTTTCATTACAAGGATTGTTTGCCCAGGACCAAAAATAAAGCAAAATAATTTGACTCTTTGCTAACTTTTTGCAGTGTGACTTTTGTTAGATCTGGTTGCCCAGCAGTGATTATGTGAGTAAAAACTCTTTGGAGCTGGAAGATAATATGTGGGTGCTAAATGATAGGTAACAGCAGCTACAACCCAGTCCCAACAGCCGTGAGCCTTGTGGTTGCTAACACAGAATGGTATTAATTACTCAGCAGATGGTAGAAGTTACAGTGGAGGCGGAACAAAGTCAGCAGCTGACCTTTATTTGGCTAAATGTGAAGTGCAATCCTAGTGAAGAGTTGCTGCTGGCAGGCAGATTAGGGTAAAATTGGCAAGTAAAGGGTTGGGGCAGGGCTGGAATTAAGCTTTTTCTGTTTGTGTCTGTTTTTCACTGATAACCTAGCGGCACCTTTTCTCTTGCTGTTGCTCAATTAGATAAGACATTGAGAAATAGTTGTTTTGCAGCTTATGGGGATGGAAAAGAAGAAGTTTATCAGGGAAGCTGAAATGAGTCCCAGGACTGGAGGTGTGGTGTGAGATAGCAGGGCAGCAGCATTCATGTCTGAAAGCCACAGGGTTCCTCAGCTGACCTTACTTTCTTTTCCAGAGATGTTTTGAGCCTTAGGAAGACAGCGAGTAGTGAGATTATGCTGTGGGCTCTCCCTGGTTTTATGCAGATAAAATCTCCCTGATTTCATCCTATAACACTGCTGTTTTTTTCACTGAAGAATCTGGACACAGATCTGGGTTACACAAAAATGGGGACACAATTTTGCACTAAGGTCTTTCCTTATGCCCTCTAAGGACTGGCAGAGGAATGCTTCTTATTTAAACCAGCACATGAGCCAGCACTTCCACCTCCTAAAGCCAGTCACAGTCCATGAGGCAGCTGGTCAGCTTACAGCAGGACACACATCTGCCCTTCATGGGTATCCCAGGCTGAACAAGCATCGCTGCGGGATGCACAATGGTGTGAAGAGGGGTTGCCCTGCTATTGTTTTTTTGGGCTGCCAATCCAGACAGCTCAGACTTGTTTATAAAACCTGCTTAAATGCTGAAAATAAATAAAAACTACTCAACTCTACAAAAGGAGGATTAAGTAAAACAGAGGCAAGTGAAAAGCAGAAAAAACCCATGAAGTTGCAACAAATACTAATAAATATTGGCTAATCACTCAGGTACGTGTTTGCAAATTAAAAAAAAAAAAAAAAGTATTATGTGCTTTGTTGCAAAAAAAAAAAAACAAACCAAAACCTCCAAACTAAACTCAAAAATCCCGGCCAGCCAGAGCAGTGGCGATATAGACCACCTAACTAAATGACGAATCATTCCTCCTAGTTATCTTCAGAAATCTCTCTACAGCAAAACTCTTATTGTCAAATGGTCTTTTGAGATCAACTTCCATGGGATTAGCAGGTTTGGTTTGGGGTTTTTTGTGTTTACAATCATACCTTCTCAGATAACTTCTGAATGCTCCATCCCTGGGGGTGTTCAAGGCCAGGTTGGACAGAGCCTTGGGTGACATGGTTTAACGTGAGGTGTCCCTGCCCATGGCAGGGGGGTGGGAACTAGATGATCTTAAGGTCCTTTCCAACCCTAACTATTCTATGATTCTATGATTCTAACTCAGAAAGAAAGCTGAATATACGATGGGACTGAAGTTGTGAGTCTGGTGTAGATTGCTGAATTAAAGAAATCAGGACCACACCTTTAAGCTCCATTCTTTTCCTTCTGTGTGTCCACATACCGATGACATTACTGTCAGATCCTTTAATCCCAGATCCTGGGATTTTATAAATGAATCACTATCTGCAGAGCATTCATAAAGTGTGAGTTAATGATGGGCTTTGTGAAACCTGTGCGTTAGCCTATACTAATCCTTCTTTCATCTTGTTTTTTTTTGTTTCAGACAACTGAAACGTGACTATCCTGGTGCTGTAGTTCTCAGTACTGATGACTTCTTCATTGAAAATGGTGTATACGTGTTTGAGCCTGACTTCCTAGAGGATGCACACAAATGGAACCAAAAGAGAGGTGACTGAACTCAAGCCAGGGGTTTTAGAGAACAGTTTTGCTTTTCAGTCTGTCTTTAAAGTTAGTCCCCAAAATAAAATATCTGGAAGTGGTGTCATACTGCAGTTCCTGGGTACTGATTAGGAAAATACACTTCTGGCTTATAAATGATAAAATTGTTGGTGATTGATAGATGTTATTTTAATAAGTAAACCAGTGACTATTAGGTACCAGATGCTGGCCTGCAGATAACCAGCCCAGCAGCAGCTCATTACAGCTGTATGCCCCACGGCCGTGGGGCTGTAACTTCTTAGATGTCTGTCCTGACTTGGAAGGGGGTGTTGCAGTGGGGCAACTAGTGATAGCCAGGAGGAAAACTTGCAAACCTAATTATAAATTTGAGAATGAAACAACTCAGGTCTCTACTTCAGTAAGAAAAATGTAATGTGCTTTTGAGGCTGTGCTCTGAACTCATTTCTAGCAATGGGAAACATACTTTCAGATCTTGTAGCAGGGATCTTCAGCAAATGACAGACATTTTTAGCAATTTTAAACACAGTGCTATGATACTGCTAAGTATGTTTTATGAGAGCTTCAGCTTGTACCACTGAGCAGAGCCAGTGGCTGCAGCACCTCCTCTAGGAGAGCACCTGTGGGGCACAACCACTGCTCCCATTTGGGTGGCAGCTGCACCAAATGGTAGGGAAACAAGGGTGCTAGTGGTGGGCAAAGAAAGGATGCTGTGGTAGTGAGACCTGGCTCAGCCTGTTACTTAATACATTTTAGCTTTACTTAATGTGTTACTTTACAGCACGCAAAGCAATGAAGAATGGGAAAAGCCCGGTTATTATTGATAATACCAACATCCATGCTTGGGAAATGAAGCCGTATGTGATAATGGTAGGGAAAGCTCTGATTTATTGCTTTTATATGCTCACATTTGTGAGGTGGTCTGACTGAAATGGTTCTTAACGTGGCTAAGAACAATTATTTCCATTTTCCCTTAGTTCTCTGATTATAGTTAAGGATTGATATTGTGATGAAGTAGGGGAAGAAGTGCCAGTGTAGCTGTCTTATCTAACCCGTTATATAGCTCAGTGAAGGCAAAGTTACTTGAAAAGATTGACAGTCTTTTGAACTTTCCCTCTTCTTGGTAATCAGGATGTCATCTCCTTCCTCAGCAGTGACATGAATTAAACAGTTCCCAACCTATCTATCTGTTGACAAATATAGCAAGATATGACTTACAATTTTAGTTCATGACTTGCAAAAAGTACACCATAAAGAGCTTCTGAAGATGCATTAGCATCTCTTGTCGGGAGTTCTGGCAAAGATGGCAATATTTTAGTGCAGTTTTATATTGTGGCCTGTCTGCTCTCACTTCTATTCTTGGGTTATGGTCTTGTCAGTTAAGAAATTTGTGTGTAAGTGTTGCTTGTAATGGGAGCACAAAAGAGGCAGGGATTTCTAGTGGTGCTGGAGAGCCGGGGCATGTCACCCCAGCAGCAGTTATGAGTGCTTGTGGGTGACTCAGAAGCACACAAGAGCACAGTATAAAAAGGTAAACAGTATAAAAAGGCAAAGTATAAAAAGATGAACAGATTTCCCTGACACCTTTCCAACAAATCAAGACAAAAGCAATCAAACCCTGTATTAAATACATATATGTACATTTGTGTGTGCGTACATAAATATAAAGCAACATACTATGTTGCTCTGCCTTGGAAAAACCTGAAGCCTGTAGACTGAGTGGCTGGAAATAGCACATCTGATAGATGCTGACCTCACACTCTAGAAGCTCCAGGCTGCATGGCCAACCTGCAGCTCTTGAACCATTGGTGGTGGCTTCCAAAGTGTTCAAGTGCTAGGATGCTATTGCTGTGGGGGACAGGGACTGGGGCAAGGCTAAGGCAAGTTTTCCTGGGAGACCCAAACTCTTTGATTGTAAGAAAACAAACTAACTGGGCCTCAGAGCAGCACCTTGGTGGGCGTCATGGTTATCTTCCTGTTTCTGGCTCCTGATACATATGGTATATCTCTTAGATAAAATCTCTGGGGGTCTAGAAGATTGGCTATTCCTGAGCTTGGCAGCCATGCATCTAACACTTCTGTGTCCTTCTTTAGGCACGTGAAAACAGATATGAAGTTGTATTCCAAGAACCAGATACACCCTGGAAGTTCAATGTTCAAGAACTGACAAGGTACATCTCTTTGATACAGCAGACAGCTTCTCGTTTTATTTGTGATCTGAGAAATGTCAGCCCTCTTCCTCTTCATATACGCTAAAAAGTAACCTAGCAAATGACAACAGAACGGTTGTTGTGGGAAACATTTATTACTCAGTACCTGGCCTGTAGTGAACTCAGCCCTGAAAAAGCCTGACCGCGAAGTGAGCCAGGCAGTAGAAAAAGCAACCCCCCTGAAGCGTGTATTTATACTGCAAGCTTCCTGGGGCAGGAACCCTAATTTTCATTCTGTATTTTGAGCAGCATTCTCTCTCTCTCTCTGGGCACAAAAAGATGTCCAAGCACTACAGACAATACTCAGGCTTTTGTTCTTAAAAAATCTAACCATAACAAACATGGTCTTGCTGTAACACCATTGTGTGTGGTGCTCAAGTGTGGGCAATAAATGGAGCTCCAGAGGATCTTTATAAAGATCTTAACATGCACACACAGAAGGGATACAATGAATGTACCAGTGCTGTGTGATGTGGTAGGATACAGAGGGAGCCAAATACGGCTCTAAGTATGTTTTGCTAGTGGCTGCAGGGTTAATGGTTACATCACTGAGAAAAAAATCCACGCAGGCTAATTTCCTAGCCTTTAACCAACCTGATGTAAAGTGTATTACAGTGAATGAATAGTGCACTCCCATCTACTAGATCCAGTAGCTAACACATGGTAACTTATTACTGCAAGAAAACAGGGCACAGGTATTTAATCTCAACCGATTTACTCGTTTTATACCAGCTAGGAACTGAAGTTAAAAACAGTGCTGCACCTTTTTGTGTGTGACACATGGCAGAGGGTGGTGGCCCTGCACAGTGCTTGTGGCTTCAGGGTAAGGCAGGATACTGCAGGCAGCAGCGGATGGCTTGGGGCTGAAGGCAGGTGAGGGCACTTAGCCTGCCTTAGCATTCAACTGCAAGTGTCAGCTCCTGCTTCACCAGCACCAGCTGGGAGCATTTGGAGGGCATTGCTGCAGAGGCAGATTTTACTACTAATCACTTATTATAGGTTGAGCTACTTGGTAGCTTGTACTTTATTAATCATATGAAGCAAGTTGGCTTTTTACAGCAGCACTGCAATGCTAATCCAAATATTCTGTCTGGAGCAGCTCTTTGGCAGATGATTCAGGGACACCTGATGGTTGCTTCTGCTGTGGTCCCACATTGCATCCTCACCAGCAATACAGTTTGTGCTGGTTACTGGGCGCAGGTGGCATGGGTGAGGGCACTGTCTGCTGCAGGGCCTCAATTACAAATTGTGCCTTATAGAGTTAAATGGCAAAACTAAAGATATTCTGAGTTTGCAAATTCACAGAAATTTGGAGTGGTCTTTGGAAAAAACAATTGTTACTTATGTGTTGAGAGAATGCAGCTGTTTCTGGTCTATCCAGGAAGCCCTGCATGTTTGAGCTCCCCTCCCTCTCAAACATGTCATTTACCCTGGAGCCTGAACCACATCAGGTATGATTTTAAACCAGCTGTGCTCAGACAAAGCAACAACATTATTTTAACCTCTATACATGGTGATTTTAAGTCAGTGCCTGGGCTATTTACAGCCCTTGCCTGCATTTCTCCAGATGTACAAAAGCTCACCCTGAGGCTATGAAGCCATTAGCACTAAACTTCAGCAAAACTATACACACACTATATATATATATGCATTATATAATACAGAGGGTTTTCTACATGGCACTCTCATTTCAAAGCATTTGTCTAACTTCTTGTGTCCTGGCTACCCACAAAAATACTTGGGTTACCTTTTTCAGTTGTGACATAATATTTTCAAGAAGTATGTGGAAGAATACAACAGTTTGGGAAAATAGGACCAGAAACAGATCAGTGGGGATGTGAACCATTATCCTGAACATGTTGGGAACTGTAGCAAGCTTCAGATAACTTCTAACACAGGCAGCTAAATACTTGTATCTTCTGTTAATGTCGACTCTACAGAAGAAATACTCATCATGTTCCTCGACAAAAGATACAACAGATGAAAGAACAATACGAGCACAACGTTACATTCCACAGTGTTCTTCAGTCCGAAAAACCACGCCGAGATGAAAGAAGGTCCCATGAACCAAACGCAGCTTACAGGATGGGTGCCCATTCCTGCCCACCTCCAGCCCTCTCAAACAGGAGGCCTCACGTGGCACATACAAGCAATAGGCCTTTTAACCAAAGAGGTGGATTCCCTGGTGGGTTTTAATTATCAGGGTATAAAAGTCTCTAGTTGTCCATCTTTTTCTCTAAACTGTTTTTTATTCTTGTATTTTTCTACTATATTTCTAAATTACTTTTATTTCTTGGAAATATTCTAATGCCTCTGGATTATGATCTCACAGCTTTGCATGACCGATCTAAGACCACTATCTCCAGCACAAACTGTACTCCCTCTCATCCCACTTCCTTCATGAAAATCCATCCAAGCTTACAGTGACAGTTAGTGGCTGTGTCACATGGTGGGATCTGTTTGGTTTTGGTTTCCTGCATCACTTAACAACAAATATTCCTAAGTTAATTCTTTCCTTCTTACAGGCCATGTGGCCAATTCCTTCTCCATGCAGTTGTCATTTCTTGACATTTTAATACTTTCTGTCTGGCTGTATAACCTTTTGTATCTTCCCACTCCATCTTGCCTAGAGCATTACTGCAACTTTAAGAGATGCAAAGTGAATGGTGGAAAAGGCAGCTCTAACAGATTTTAGCAAGATTTGATGTTCCCTAGTCCCATCTCTGCTGTTTGGATATATGTTGGTCTTCCTTAGCTCTTAGCAACCAAACAGCTTCACCAGCCTGGAGGTTAAACTTTTAACATACCAAACGGAGCCCTTTATCTTGCCATAGGATTTCACCTGGTCCTGAAGACACAGAGTTCACCTGGTCCTGAGACAAGTCCATATAGAGGTGCTTCTAAAAGGAAACATTAGTATTAGGCCAGTGCTTGTTAGCTTCTAAGTAGAAACAGAGCTAATCCTAAGCAGATCCAAGTAGCTGAAGCACAAGTCTACCAAATACCTAAACTAAGTAGAAAGAAATTACTTAAGAAAGGGGAAAGAATGTTCTTTTAAGGGAAGAAATCAGTTCTTTGTCCTGCTGAGTGCTGAGAAGCCACTGACTGATAGATGGGTGAGAAGCTATCCTGCAGGGTTTTCATCCATAGTTAAATTCTGCCAATTATGTCCTCATCAAGACACCTCATGAAACATTTCTGAAACGCAGCATTTGTGATGGCAATTATTTTTTAAGTGTGTGTGGATTATTAGGCAGTGCTTATAGAACAGGGCAGCGGTGAGTTATTTTGCAGTAGGATATGAAGACAGCTCACATTGGCTGTTAAGAAATACAGGTAGAGCTGCTATTCATCTAGCAATTCAGCCAAGAAGTGTAAAGGTATAAAGTAATCTACTGTTTCAGGGCAAAAGCCAAGCTCTCTTCAGGACAGAGTAGAAGTATGAAATGAATTGCATCTTCTACTAAAGCTGCATTGAAAGAAGTAGTATCATCACTGTAAATAATTGTGACCTAGGGGTCTAGGGAACCTGTGTCTGCCATGTTGCACAAAGGTTTACAGAACTATCAGCAAGCTTGCGTCAATTCTCGCAGTCCTAATACAATATCCAGCTTGGCAACAGGAGCCATTCCCAGCTTGGCATGTGAGCCAAGGAAGTGGCACAGGACCCCTGAAAGGTTGTTGAGCAGGAGCTGGTGGTGGCCCTGGATCTGAAACATCCTCCCTCCTTTGACTTGTGTGTGGTGGGAAACAGCAGGCAAAGGGCAGGCTAACAACAAACTAAAATGTGGAGCTGGCAGCCAGTCTAGCAGGATCCCTCTCCAGTGGAGAAACTCCAGTTTTGAGAAGTTTAATTAATGAGAACAAAGTAATGAATTCAAGTACTGACTCACTCCCAGCAGAAGTGATGAAATTAAACATCTGATTATCTTTCATGATACTGTGGCCTCGAGTGCTTCTTTGAGGAGCAGCTCCTTGGAAGTGCTGACCAAGGATCTATCATTAATAACTTTGTATGGCATTTTGCTATGAATCAAATAATAGCTGTCCTCTAAACCTATTTTAGCATTATATGGAAAGTTCCAAGGGAAAATTACAAGAACTGCGTCACAATTACAGAGCTGTATTTCAGAATGAAAGTGTAATGTTTGGTAACAATAAACCTAAGAGAATTGTTATGCCCTGTGCCACTTCTGACAGCCAAAGAACTGTTGTAACAAAAGTGACTGCTTTAGACTGAAACAAAGATCTTGCTGTAATTTAAGAATACATCAGAATCAAAGCAATGGTTTCAAAAATGTCATCAGACCTTCAGCCACACTGATGCTATTGTACAATACATGTTTGTGTGAGAAATGTATAATTACTCAACTCCAAATTATTTTGCAGATGAAATGTTGTTGTTTTTATAATACAGCTTTATTAAATACAATTGGAATTTAAGGTACAAAGTGTAAAAAAAACCTGAATTTGAAATATATACAGTATTGTACATGTGCATTTAGTAGCATTTTCAGGGGTTTCGTCTTTGTAGCATTCTGTGGGCTGGTAACAAGTTGTCAGGTTCTTCCATCCTTCTGAAGAGCCTCAGCTACTTCAGAACTGCTTTTTGATGAGTTATTTGCTTGCCTAGTAGACCTGGAATTATTTTTGAGTAAAAGATTGTCAGATAAATTAGTAGCTATTGTATTGCTGTTTTCATTTACATACTCAAATCTTCTTTTCTTCTGGTAAATTATTCATGAGTGCTTGTGTGTTAATCATTGCAAGTTCTTCATCAGCAACCAGGTCATTCTCAGGAAGATGGCCATTTTCTCTCAATTTTCTATGGGGGGTGACATGACCAATATTTTGATTTGTTTCTTTTGATGAATTGCTACGCTGTAAACCCAAACTTCGTGGTGGCTGAAATGCTCTTTTTAAAGATGGAGAAATTACTGAATACATTGGTGTCAGTGGTGGAGGGGCGGCTATGCAACTAAGGAAGTCCATGGCTTTTCTCTTCTTGCTGTTTTTGGGATGGTCACCATTAATTCTAGCAGGTGAAGGTGGTTTTGCTGACCCTCGTGTGACAAATTTCATATTTGGTGTGCTAGTTGACAGAGGGCTTGGATGCTTTATTTCAGTTTTAGAAGAGATCTAGTTAAAAAAAAAAAAAGGTTTTTATGTTGAACAGAATGTCCTATTTAGCTTCCTCAATTACTTCCACAAAATCACATTTTTGTACCAGGTTTTCTCCTCTATGTCACCATTCATGTCAAACTTAACTTTTGTTTGATACCTTCTGATGGTGTCCAATACTATTTTTCAAGCACTGATGCTTGATAAATCACTGTTTACATGTACATTAAGACAGCTCATTTACATTCTGTTTCTGAGATCTAAGCTAAATGTATGGGTATTTTCCTCTGCCAGGTGGTAGGAAATCAAAGCACTCATAAAAAAAGGAGTTTAGTCTTCTACGGCATTGGATATATCCTTAACCGGTTGTTAAGTAGAGAAAACAAGGAAAAAAATTTGAAGGAAGAAAGGGATAGAATTTAGACCAAAAACCTTGAAGATAACAATACAGGATAGACACTGCACAACAAATCATTCAAACATATGCTTGAGAACCTTTAACATCTGTTTTAAATCTGTTAACATATTTAATAAATAGATATAAACAAAACCTTCATAATTAGGTATTAGCACTCCCTCTGAATTGGAGAAGAATGCTTTATAAGCTTAAATTTAGTCCCTAGGAATTGATACCACACTGGGGTGTTTCCACCTTCCTCACAACTAATGGCAAGAAAAATTTTTGTTCTGACTGCACTCAGTACTCACATCATGAAAAACTTGTCATCAGCAGCTGTCATGGAAAACTCTAGCACTATTTAACTCTATCTTTGTAAAGACTTATATAAAACGTAAATATTTACTAGGTGATACCTCTCCCCTTTTAATCCTAGAAATAGTGAAAAATATCTAGGAAAAGATGACCAGGAGGTAAATTCTCTAAGGAAGGATAGGAACTGCAGAATGCTATGAAAAAAAAAAGTAAAGATCAAGATTTTTCCCTCCTGTGACATCCCTGGCAGATAATCTTCACAGTGGGACCAAGGAAGCAATAAACCATCTACAGGGAAAGAATGACTCATTTTACTCATTAAAAAAAATCAGAATTATTAAATTGTGATGTGAAAACACAGGCCACAAGGGAAGGTTTTCATGTACCACCTGGAGGAAGAATAACCTACAGTTCCTCCTGGGGCATAATAAGCACAGAGAAAGCTAATCATCTTGCATTGCCCTGAAGAGAATGTATGGAGCAGACTGAGAAGTGAGACCATTCCCCACAGCTATTCCCCACAGCTAACAGTGTAAAACTTGCTTATATCCTTACTGTATATACTGTCTGTATAAACACAGTATTAATTACTAAAAGCTTACCAAACTTTTATCCTCTGCATAAAGATCTGAGTTGCAGAAAGGAGAGGGGCATTCCAAGCCACATCTTTTAGTTAAACTGGGTGTAAGCAAGAGATTTCTTTGTAGCAGATTCATTAATTTACTTTCTGCATCAGAGCAAAAGGAGGCCACATTCTATAAAGGAGAAAACAGTTTAAAATGCAGAATATTTGCTTTCAAATTGTGTAAGTACTGTATGCTCACAAAGTACTCAGGACTTTGTTTTCTCATCATAATCCCACTAGAAGTTTATTTTGTATCAAACCAACAACTTTTAAGACTGCTGCACTTTCTGTGGAGGGAAGTATCATAGCCTCCATTTATTGTTAACAAGAAAAAAATCCTTTTGTATTTAAACTTATTTTTCAAGAAGTGGGAATGCGTGACCAGGACATGCTATTTAGCACAGCTAGAAAACTGAAATAATAAATTAAATCAACAATTCAATATTGAATATATTCACTAAGCAAGACAGTAAATTCCAGCCTTTAAAAGGCTAGAGCCAAACTGTCCATGGCAGATTTCCTATTGACAGGTACAGTATTTGTTGCTAGCCAGAGAAGATTCTGTGGCACATGCTAAAGACAGTGTAGGTTAAGCTGAATTAAAAAAACAACCAAATTAAAACAAAACCAAAAGACATTAAAAAGGTGATATGTTGAGTCAGGAATGTGCAGGAAAAGTGCATTAACATCCTACTCTGTCTCCCAGCATCAAATTCCCACCTTCAAGATCAACACCACGTGCAATACTTGTTTTAAAGATTTCTTAGTACTAATGGAATTTTTGGTGAAAAATGTAACACAGCAGTAGCTAAAATTAAACCAAAAATATACAGATTTACCTCTATTGTACTTCTCAGTCCATTAACCTTCTCTAGAAGATAGCTTTCCTTTGGACTGCTTGAGAATACAGAAAGATCTCCAGCCAACAGCATAGGAATTTCTGACCTGAATTCTGATTGCCACTGAAGGTTGCTTGCAGAAATGAATGCACAGCGGATAACTATATCTTCAATA